AAAAAAAAAAAACCCCCCAAAAAATTTACAAATAAAAAAGAAATGTTTGACTTCATGCAAGCTCTATATGGTAAAAGACAGTTCAATGTCACACCCACAGGCTTTTTGACATATAATCTAAACTATGAAAATAATAAGATACAAGAAAGGAATACCGTAGCCATCAAACGCCACATGTTAAGATCATGAACTCCCTCAGATACCACTAGTATTTTGTGACAAATGGATGTGAGGAGAACACCAAGCTAGGACTCCTTGCAGAAAAGGAAAATAATTTCATCAGACATTGTAACGTTAAAAATTGTAGACAACCTCTTAAGATTGCAGAAAAGAAGGTCATTAAGCTACCATTAGGAATTATCAAGTGTACTCGATGATTATGTGGTATGATGCAAAAAAGGAGACTCCCAAAACACCTATTAATGTTCACAGTTACCTGGATACTCATCAGTTCATGAGCCAACTCAGCAGATAGAGATTCACCACTAAAAACAGAGACCGTTGATGAGCCATCGGGTCTAATCATCTCAGCTAAAACAGAAGGACTAAATACAGGCTGCATGTCAAAAAAAAAAACTGATTAAAATAGAAATAAGACTCGAGTAAACAGTATGATTTTCTGAACAGACATGATTGGAAAGAATAACCAATCCTCACTTCCAGGAGTCAATATTTACATGTGACAACAGAACTTAAATCTTTCTGACCAAAAAATTTAAAAATACAATAATGGCAGTGCATGGAGGAAAGAATTAAAAAGAGAAATGTGTTCCATAAGGCTCATTTCTCTTTGAATACTCGATAGAATAGCAGGTAAACTGACTTTTACGAAAGAATGAAATGCTAAGCTACTAATTCTTTCGTCAGTGCCAGAGGTCTCAAACATCATTTTATATAGGGAATAACAAGAAAAATTCACACACCACATCGAATTAGGCCAAACTCCCCAGCCTAATCTTCCAAAAGACAATGGCTATGGAACGAGGTCAAGACACATGGCTGAACTAATTTCCCTTTGGATACATACTGATCCAACATGGAAAAAAGAGTTACTACCCCATGTTGCTTTTGTTCCTCCAACAGAATCCCGTCCCATTTCACTCCTATCATCAATTGTGCCAAAGGGACTAGCCTAATCTCTTTTATTCCTCTCCAAAACTTGTTGCCGTAATTCATATGGATTATGGACTTTAGAAATCCTTACAGTTGTCAATTTAGTGACTTCATTTGTATCCAACATGAACTGTGCAGGTTTCATCAATCACTCGCAGAATCAAGATATCTATGTAGTAGAGCATGAATGCAGACTGCATGATCACATCAAATTACATTTCTTTTTTACTAATATAAGACAAAACTAAGCCAACAAAATGGGGTAACTAGAGGGAAACCTGGGTATCCAAAAGTATAATCCGCTCAGCAGAAACCCTGGGTTCAATGCCAACAGTACAATGCCTTGCCATTGCCCTGGTTTCTTCCGACACTATTGCAAATGGAGGCAGCATTCCTTCAAGAGAGAATATCACAGATCGCAATAAGGTGTAACTTCAGGGAAGCTTTCTTTCAAAATCCCTTATAAGCACTTTCTTTTATTCTCTCTCATTTTATATTCGGTAATATGTATAAGTGAGTGGATATGTGAGTGTGTGTGTGTGTGTGTGTTTACCGACACAGAAAGATTAGATACCAGGTGAGCTTCCATCAAATCCATAAATTTCGTTCATTATAGTCGACTTGCCGACGCCAGGTGGACCAATCACTCCGACCACCGTAAAATCAGTATTGTCTGTCAGAAACTGCAAAAAAAAAAAAGAAGACAAAATTCTCAAATTTCCAAAGACACACAGCTTGAAACTGAACTAGAGAGAGATTTTAACAGTAGTCTCACAAAGAAAACTGANGTATTGTCTGTCAGAAACTGCAAAAAAAAAAAAGAAGACAAAATTCTCAAATTTCCACAGACACACAGCTTGAAACTGAACTAGAGAGAGATTTTAACAGTAGTCTCACAAAGAAAACTGAGAGAGAGAGAGAGAGAGAGAAGGGTTTTACGGGCAGGAAGCGATCGGTGTGAAATTCCCAGGAGTCGGAGAGCAGGTTGAGGGATCCGATGGACGGGAGACGAGACCGAAGCGATGCGGATTCGTCATCAACGCCACCAGCACCGCCCCGGTTAAATTTGCCGGCGGTGACAAGTCCGGGCTTAGCTAAAAGGATTTTGGGAGCTTGGCCGCTTCCGCTGGTAGCTGCCATCGATGTTACTCTCTCTCTCTCTCTGACTCTGACCAAAATGGAGGATCATGGGTTTAATATTACCCATAGTCATCAAAATTTGTTTCCAGTCTTGTTTTGACCCCCTGATATTCTAAATATGTTATATTGATCCCTCAAAATCTTACATTTGATGCTGAATGGTCTTTTTATTTAAAAGCAGCCAAATTATTAGGGGAATTATGTTGTGAGTGTGTGGTAATTAGAGGGGCCTGGCCCATAATTGGATTTTTAGATTTGTCGTTTAGATTAAGTATCTAATTGTACAAAATTGATGAATTTAACAAAATTCATGGAAGAANAGCCAAATTATTAGGGGAATTATGTTGTGAGTGTGTGGTAATTAGAGGGGCCTGGCCTATAATTGGATTTTTAGATTTGTCGTTTAGATTAAGTATCTAATTGTACAAAATTGATGGAATTAACAAAATTCATGGAAGAGAATTCGAGTCATCAAATTTGAATTGTCATTTTTTTTTCTAATTCATGTGTTCTTGGTAAGTTATATGTCAAAGTTGTGGGTTAGCCAAACAATCTAATTGTACGTTAAATTTAAAATACCAAAAAGACCATATGTGAGGCCCACAATTGCAAATGAACTAAGCTAGATTGCTCATGATCTAATATTTTTGTTAAGCTGAGTTAAGCATGATCTATTTAAAGAGCCTTACTCATTCAACACCTTCCCTATTTCTTGCTTGCCCTTCCAATTTTTCCTCACAAGCCATCCCTCCTAAGAGTGACCAAAATTTTCTTTTAAGTACTCACTCTCTTTTTTCAAATCACATTGCCCTTTCCCCCCTNTGCAAATGAACTAAGCTAGATTGCTCATGATCTAATATTTTTGTTAAGCTGAGTTAAACACGATCTATTTAAAGAGCCTTACTCATTCAACACCTATGGTCTCTTCCCTATTTCTTGCTTACCCTTCCAATTTTTCCTCACAAGCCATCCCTCCTAAGAGTGACCAAAATTTTCTTTTAAGTACTCACTCTCTTTTTTCAAATCATATTGCCCTTTCCCCCCCAATCATTGTAACTCTCTCAAAAACTCCATTGTTTCCTTCCCTTGACGCACCTAATGGCAAAAGCGTATTCCTTGTTAATCTATTTTTTTATTTCTCTCTCATTTTTTTTAATCTCTCACTAAATCATTCACCTCCCATGCCCCTCACTCTTTGGGAAATTTCATTAGTTCTTCTGATTCTGGTTATGCTTAAAGCTTCTACTTGTGTATGTGTGTATAGCATGCATATGTGTGTGAGATTGTGAGAAAAAAATCAAGTTGATGTACTGAAAATGAGAATAATGTTGTTCCAAAAAGGATAAAATTATAAAAAATGATCATTATGTTCCAACTATGAACAAGGGGAGAAATATGGTCCTTATAAGTATTATTTTTTACCGATGTCATTTTTTTGGGTAACTAAAGAGTAAATAGGAGTTGCTGTTATGATTTTGAAATTTTAGGGGGTTTTCGTAATTGGCTCAAAATGTCGAGGTTTATTCGGGTAATTATTACAAATTTCAGGATTGTCTTAATAGTTTAAGCAACAAATCCGTATGGGGTCCGTCGGGTGAGCGGGTAAACACATGACCCATTTCTCTAAACGCTATCTTCTTCCTTAATCCTTCCCATGGCTGCTCTACCTCTAGCTCCAGTGCCCAGTCTCGGCTCCTCTTAAACGCTCTCCTCCAGACCCACATCAATCAATGGAAGTCCTGAAATCCTCCTTCATCTGCACCACTCCATTCAACACCCAACCTTCTAAACCCTCAAAAAACCCCAGATCCAAAACCAAACCAGTGATCGTTTTGTCCTCGGTCACACCAGACCCATGGACTCTCAGTGATGGTAATCTCGAAAAACCAAAACCCAAGTCCAAGAACCCCAAGAACCCACTCTCCGATGACAACGCTCGACGCATAATCAAAGCCAAAGCTCAGTACCTTAGCGCCTTGAGGCGTAACCAAGGCTCACGAGCTCAGACTCCGAAATGGATTAGAAGAACGCCTGAACAGATGGTTCAGTACATGGAAGATGATAGGAATGGAAACTTGTACGGTAGACATGTTGTTGCGGCAATTCAGCGGGTCAGAAGTCTTTCCAGGAAGCCCGAAGGGTCGTATGATATAAGGGAGGTGATGGGCTCTTTCGTTACGAAGCTTAGTTTTAGCGAGATGTGTATTGTCTTGAAGGAACAAAAGGGGTGGAGGCAAGTCAGAGACTTCTTTTCTTGGATGAAATTGCAGGTGCGTTTTTGAAAATTTAATGGGTTTTGGATTTCTAAAGTAACCTAGGATTGTAGTTAGAGATAATTCTCTCTTTTTAGGTATTAGTAACATTTTTTTCCTCAATGTCGAACCTTATGATTCCAGAAAAAATTACTAAACTTAACAAAATTATATATTTGTGGAATGAAAAACACTCACCTTTCTGTTTTTACATCATCGTTTCAATTTGTATGGTAATGTTCTGAAAATTTAAAGCCAACTGTGAAGTGGTATCATTTCTTTCCCTATCCTGAAAGCAAATGTTTTATTATCTCGTCTTGTTGTCAATGTAGTTTCTTCATGAACCACCACATATTAACTTGGTGTAATGTTAGAATTAATGATGAACAGTTAAGCTACCGGCCAAGTGTTATCGTCTACACTATTGTTCTGCGAATGTATGGCCAAGTTGGCAAAATTAAGCTTGCTGAGCAGACATTCTTGGAGATGCTTGAAGCAGGGTGTGAACCAGATGAAGTTGCCTGTGGCACCATGCTATGTGCATATGCCAGATGGGGACGCCATAAAGCTATGCTGTCATTTTATTCTGCGGTGCAAGAAAGGGGGTTGACACTCTCAGTTGCGGTATACAATTTTATGCTTTCATCTTTGCAGAAGAAATCACTTCATGAAGATGTTATGGACATGTGGAGGCAGATGCTTGATAAAGGAGTAGCACCCAATCATTTTAGTTATACAGTAATCATCAGCTCATTTGTTAAAGGTGGTCTTGCTGAGGAAGCTTTTAGGACTTTTGATGAGATGAAGAGCTTTGGATTCGTGCCTGAGGAGGTAACATATAGCCTTCTTATCAGTTTAAGTTCAAAAAAAGGCAACCAGGACAACGGACTCAGACTTTATGAAGACATGAAATTACAAGGAAGGACCCCAAGTAATTTCACGTGTGCTTCACTTCTAACCTTGCATTACAAAAACGAGGATTATTCAAAAGCCCTTTCCCTTTTTTCGGAAATGGAAAGGAAAAAAATTGTGGCAGACGAAGTTATATATGGTTTACTTATTAGGATATATGGCAAACTTGGTCTCTATGAGGATGCCCAGAAAACTTTTGAAGAGATTGAGAAATTAGGCCTACTTAGCAATGAGAAAACTTACATAGCAATGGCACAAATCCATCTCAACTCAGGAAATTTTGAGAAAGCTTTGGGTATTTTGGAGCAAATGAGGTCTAAAAACATTTGGTTTTCAAGATTTGCCTTTATTGTCTCATTGCAATGCTATGTAATGAAGGAAGATTTGTCTTCTGCTGAAGCTACGTTTCAGGCTCTATCAAAGACTGGACCTCCTGACGCCAATTGTTGTAAAAAGATGCTCAATTTGTATATGAAACTGGGTTTAAATGAAAAGGCTAAAGATTTTATTATCCAAATAAGAAAAGATCAAGTGGAATTTGACGAGGAACTTCTCAAGACAGTCATGAAGGTGTATTGCACGCTAGGAATGCTAAGAGATGCAGAACATTTGATAGAAGAGGTGAGTAGAAGCAGATCATTTGAGGATAGTAAGTTAATTCAAGCACTGTCTATGGCTATGGATGGAGATATCAGGAGACTTCCCCGAACTGAAGGTGCTTTTGAACCATTGGACCAACCTGGCACCATGGCTTTTGGGTTTGTGCTTAGTTTGTATTTGACGGATGGCAATGGCAGTAACGCAGAAGAAAAACTTAAAATGTTGCTCAAGACTGCAAATGGCTTGTCAGTGGCCAGTCAGCTCGTTTGCAAATTCATTAGAGAAGGCAAGAAACTTACTTATGTGGTTGCTTAGTTTTAGGACATATGGCACATGGCTATATGTGTCTTTCATTCCTTTGGCTGTTTAAATTGAGACATTTTGTTATGCTTTGTTATTCCGTAGGTGATATATCAAAAGCACAATATCTTTATGAGCTTTTAATCAAGCTAGGCTGCAAACCGGAGGATGCGGCATGTACATCTATGATTAGTTTATATGGAAAACTACAGAAATTAAGAAGAGCTCAGGAAGTTTTTGCAGCAGTGGCGGATTCCTTTACAACTCGAAAACTCCTATATAATTCAATGATCGATGCATGTATTAAATGTGCTAAACCAGAAGAGGCATACTTGTTATACAGAGACGAAGCTGAGAAAGGGCATGATTTGGGTGCTGTTGCCATCAGCATGCTAGTGAATGTTTTGACCAATTGTGGTAAGAATGACAACTCCAAAAAAGTAATTTTGTTCCCGTAATGACGTATGTGGGGCATTTACTAATATTGGGGCATAATGCTGTGGGAGGCAGAATTTATATGACACTATTTTTTTTTTCTTTTTCTATGTGGGGTGCACCAGGCACATTTCTCACNTGTTGCCATCAGCATGCTAGTGAATGTTTTGACCAATTGTGGTAAGAATGACAACTCGAAAAAAGTAATTTTGTTCCTGTAATGACGTATGTGGGGCATTTACTAATATTGGGGCATAATGCTGTGGGAGGCAGAATTTATATGACACTTTTTTTTTTTTCTTTTTCTATGTGGGGTGCACCAGGCACATTTCTCATGCACAGGTTGGGAGTCATTGCTTTGTTCGATGACAAAATGCTGAGGCTATCAAGTGTGACTAACGTGCAATTTCTAGTTTGAGTGCACCCTTTTTGTTTAAATATTCCAAAATTATATATCCGCATCTATTCTAACCCTCCCAGTGTCCCGTGTAAGCCAGACCTAACTGCGTATTAGTCTTAATTGTTTTTCAAGAACGTCGAAGTAATAGGAAGTACAATGGGTGAACATCAATCCTTCTTGTTAAGAATAGTAGGATAGTATGCATAAATTGTTAATAATAAGAGGGTGTATGTGTAATTTTTATTATTGTAGGTTAACTATAAATACAAGTGATGTATGAGAGTTAGGTTAAGTTTTAACACTCTCTGTTTTCTCTCTAATATTGTGTTGATTCTCTAAATTTAACATGGTATCAGAGCCTAGTTTAGTCCTAAATATATTTTAAAAATAAATTAACTCGATTTATTTCGGTGGTACTGTTGATCGTCAAAGCTACAGCGGTGGTGGTAGTGATACGGTTGTTGTAGCTCTGTGTACTGTTTGCCGTTGTTGGTGGTGGTGTGGTACTGTGTTCGCCGTTCATTGTGTGTGGTGGTGTTGTCGGTGGTGGTCTGTTGTGGTGTTGTGGACTTTCACTGTGTTGTGGTTGTCGGTGGTGGTCTGCTGTGGTGTTGTCGAAATTTGTTGGTGGTCTGTGGTTGTGTTGTCGAATTTCGTGTGGTTGATTGTTGTCGTCTGTGGTGTGGCTATTGTTGTGGCTTGTTGTTCGTCGTTGGTGGTGAGGCGCAGTTGCAGTAGAGGGTTCTCTGGAATCCTAACCAACGAAGAAGACAAAGCCCAAACTCGACCCACTTTAGGTCAACCCAGATCTGACCCAACCCTGGTTTGGTCTCGGTTCAGCTCCTTGTCTGTGGTTTAGACCGGTTCAGACTTTGGTTTAGTGCTCCAACAAGTAAAACCGGCCAGGTTCAGTGATCCAGCAAGCCAAACCGGCTGGGTTCAGTGATTCAGCTAGCTTTTCTACCCTGATTCAGTAGCTTTTTCTTCTCCGGTTCAGCGATCCAGTACCCTTTTCTGCTCCGGTTCAGCGATCCAGTACCCTTTTCTTTTCCGATTCAGCGGTCTAGTACCCTTTTCTAGTCCGGTTCAGCGGTTCAATGGACTTAACTGATCTGGTTCAGCGTTCCAATGAGATTTTCCAGTCCAGTTTGGTGATCCAACAACCTTTTCTTCTTCGGTTCAGCAGTGCAGTAGGTAATTCTTGTCCGGTTCAGTGATCTAGTGATTTTTCTTTTCTATTTGCTGCACTTATGGAACTCAAGCAAGACACGGGGTTGGTTACTATTACACGAGAGGAGTATGCTCAATTCCTGTCCTAGCAACAGGTTGTCCTATCTCCANGTGCAGTATGTAATTCTTGTCCGGTTCAGTGATCTAGTGATTTTTCTTTTCTATTTGCTGCACTTATGGAACTCAAGCAAGACACGGGGTTGGTTACTATTACATGAGAGGAGTATGCTCAATTCCTGTCCTAGCAACAGGTTGTCCTATCTCCATCCACTGCTACTTTTGCCCAGTTAGATAATGCTTCCATTTGTTTATTGTCCTCCAATCACAGTCCCTAGATCATAGACTGTGGCGCTTCTGACCACATGACTAGTGTGTCTAATATTTTTTTTACTTATCAGTCTGCTACTTTCACACATAGTGTTACTCTTGTTAATGACACTTGTTCTCAAGTTTCAGGTTTGGGGACTACTAACTTGAGTCCTGATATGTTCCTATCTTCCGTATTATTTGTTCATCAGTTTTTTTTTAGTTTACTCTTCATTAGCAAGATTACCCGTTCTCTTAATTGTTCTGTAATTTTTTATCCCTCTTATTGTGTTNACACTTGTTCTCAAGTTTCAGGTTTGGGGACTACTAACTTGAGTCCTGATATGTTCCCATCTTCCGTATTATTTGTTCATCAGTTTCTTTTTAGTTTACTCTTCATTAGCAAGATTACCCGTTCTCTTAATTGTTCTGTAAGTTTTTATCCCTCTTATTGTGTCTTTCAGGATCTCAAGACGAAGAGGAAGATTGGTACGGGGTATGAAGCTGGTGGACTATATTACTTTGATTTTGATTCACCTACTCGGGTTTTACAGACCTCGCTGTCTCCCTTTCAGTGGCATTGTCATCTTGGACATCCCTCTTNGTGTCTTTCAGGATCTCAAGACGAAGAGGAAGATTGGTACGGGGTATGAAGCTGGTGGACTATATTACTTTGATTTTGATTCACCTACTCGGGCTTTACAGACCTCGCTGTCTCCCTTTCAGTGGCATTGTCATCTTGGACATCCCTCTCTTCAGAATCTGAAGCACCAAGTTCCCAGTCTTAGTTGTGTGCCGTCTTTGTCTTGTGAAGCTTGTCAACTTAGTCAGCATCATCGTGTGTCATTTTAGTCTAGAGTCACTAATCGTGTGTCTAGTCCATTTGAGATTCTGATGTATGGGGTCCAATTNTTTTGCGTTGTATCGTCCGATACACGATACGTTTTTACGATACGATACGTATCGGTAAGAAACGCACGATACGTGCAATTTTTTTTTTTTTTTAAAAAACGACGTCGTTTTGTGCTCTGATTTTTAAAAAAAAAAAACGACAAGTGAAGACTTGTTGGCATCCGATCACGATGATGATGATGATGATGCATTTTCAATTGAAATTGAAGATTGAGTTCAAAATGGATGTTAGAAATTTGGATTAGAAGTCTCTTTGGTGTCTCCATTACTTTGAATTTTATTTTTTTTATATTTTGTATTGGTTGCTTTGTAGGGTCTAGAAATCTTACTTGAATAGTTGGTGGAGTATTAATGAAATGTTATATCTTTTATGAGTGTATGACTTTTTTTCAAAGGTATATATATTTTTTTATTATTTATTTAAAATTGATTCGTATCTTACGATACACGATACGATACACGATACGATACAATATTTGTATCTTACGATACGCCTTCCGATACACGATTTGATAACTTTGGTTTTGGTTGCCATTGAAGACAACGGTTGTGTTTCTTGCTTGCTGAGTAAATAGGATGTCTCAATAAGATTTATTTATATGGGTTAATTGTAAATTATATCGTGAAAGATCGTTCGAATTTTAATTTATATCTTCAAAGATAAAAAATTTTAATTTGCCCTCTTGAATATAAAAATTTGTATTACTGTGCACCTAAAACTAACATCCGCAGTTTGCCATCTAAAATTAAATGAATAAATTATACTTAAATCCTTTCATACTTGTATTTAGAATATTATTCCTACATCTCTTAACATTTGTGCACATATAACACATAACTCTTTATCGTTGATATCTGTTAATATATCTATTAAAAAATATAANGTTGTACCACCATCTCTTCCCCTATCTTAAGATATTCCGCTGCCCTCTGTGTTACTATCTACTTTACCTCTCCGTATCTACTCTCGCCGTCCTCGCCCATCGACTGAGGTGCCCGTATCGTCTTCCTTGCCGCCTTCTTATCCTGGTACATTAGGTAATTTAGACTCTTTACCTATTGCTCTTCGTAAAGATACTCGTTCGTGTGTTACTCATCATCCCATTTCTCATTTTGTTTCATATGATGCCTTGTCTCCTGTCTTCTCCTGTTTTACTTCCCAATTATCTGCTATATCTATTCCTAAGTATTTACAGGATGCATTATCTGATTCGGGTTGGAGGAAAGCTACGGAGGAGGAGATGGATGCTTTACATCATAATGGGACTTGGGATCTCGTTCCTTTACCCCCTGGTAAACGAACTGTTGGCTGTCGTTGAGTGTATACTGTTAAATTTTGTTCAAATGGTTATGTGGAGCGTCTCAAAGCCTGACTTGTTGCAAAGGGCTTTACTCAGACTTATGGTGTTGATTATGAGGAGACTTTTTCTCCTGTTGCCAAAATTTTCTCTGTTCGTATCTTGATTTCTTTGGTTGCTAATCTTGATTGGTCCTTGTTTTAGTTAGACATCAAGAATGCCTTCCTACATGGTGACTTGGTTGAAGAGGTATACATGGAGAAGCCACCTTACTGCTCAGGGAGAGTATGGTAAGAGTGTATGTCGGTTAAAGAAATCTTTGTATGGTTTGAAACAGTCACCGAGGGCATGGTTTGGTAAATTTTCAGATGTAGTTTTAGAGTTTGGTCTTCTTCGATGTCAGACAGATCATTCTATGTTTCATAGACAGACAAATGCTAGATATGTCTTATTGGTGGTCTATGTAGATGAAATTGTGATTACTGGAAATGATTCTGAGGGGATTGACAAGTTAAAAATATTTTTACGGGATCGATTTCATACTAAAGATTTGGAAAAATTCAGGTATTTATTAGGTATTGAGGTGATTCGATCTAAACAGGGTATTTGTTTATCCTAGAAGAAATATGTACTTGACATGCTTAAGGAAGCAGGTTTACTGGGTGGTAGACCGATTGATGTTCCTATGGATTCGAATCAGAAATTATTGATGAATGATGGTGCATTGTTTGAGAATCCGAGTCGGTATCGCAGATTGGTTGGAAAGATTAATTATCTCACTATTACTCGACTGAATATTTCCTATGCAGTCAGTATAGTAAGTCAGTTCATGGGATGTCCTAGAGTACCACATTGAGAGGCAGTTACTCNGGTTAAGGAAGCAGGTTTGCTGGGTGGTAGACCGATTGATGTTCCTATGGATTTGAATCAAAAATTATTGATGAATGATGGTGCATTGTTTGAGAATCCGAGTCGGTATCGCAGATTGGTTGGAAAGATTAATTATCTCACTATTACTCGACTGAATATTTCCTATGCAGTCAGTATAGTAAGTCAGTTCATGGGATGTCCTAGAGTACCACATTGAGAGGCAGTTACTCGTATTCTGTGATATCTCAAACGAGCTCTTGGACTTGGACTGTTATATCGAGCTGATGGACATCTTAGAGTGGAAGGTTTCTCAGATGCTGATTGGGCCGACTCTCCTTCTGATCGAAGATCAACTACTGGTTATTGTATTTTNATGAGCTCTTGGACTTGGACTGTTATATCGAGCTGATGGACATCTTAGAGTGGAAGGTTTTTCAGATGCTGATTGGGCCGACTCTCCTTCTGATCGAAGATCAACCACTGGTTATTGTATTTTCTTAGGGGGTAATGTTGTCTCATGGAAAAGTAAGAAACAACTTGTGGTAGTAAGATCCAGTGCTGAGGCTGANTTACTGCTCAGGGAGAGTATGGTAAGAGTGTATGTCGGTTAAAGAAATCTTTGTATAGTTTGAAACAGTCACCGAGGGCATGGTTTGGTAAGTTTTTAAATATTTTAGAGTTTGGTCTTCTTTGATGTCAGACAGACCATTCTGTGTTCCATAGACAGACGGATGCTGGATATGTTCTATTGGTGGTCTATGTAGATGATATTGTGANATGTCAGACAGATCATTCTGTGTTTCATAGACAGACAAATGCTAGATATGTCCTATTGGTGGTCTATGTAGATGAAATTGTGATTACTGGAAATGATTCTGAGGGGATTGACAAGTTAAAAATATTTTTACGGGATCGATTTCATACTAAGGATTTGAAAAAATTTAGGTATTTATTAGGTATTGAGGTGATTCGATCTAAACAGGGTATTTGTTTATCCTAGAAGAAATATGTACTTGACATGCTTAAGGAAGCAGGTTTACTGGGTGGTAGACCGATTGATGTTCCTATGGATTCGAATCAGAAATTATTGATGAATGATGGTGCATTGTTTGAGAATCCGAGTCGGTATCGCAGATTGGTTGGAAAGATTAATTATCTCACTATTACTCGACTGAATATTTCCTATGCAGTCAGTATAGTAAGTCAGTTCATGGGATGTCCTAGAGTACCACATTGAGAGGCAGTTACTCGTATTCTGTGATATCTCAAACGAGCTCTTGGACTTGGACTGTTATATCGAGCTGATGGACATCTTAGAGTGGAAGGTTTCTCAGATGCTGATTGGGCCGACTCTCCTTCTGATCGAAGATCAACTACTGGTTATTGTATTTTCTTAGGGGGTAATGTTGTCTCATGGAAAAGTAAGAAACAACTTGTGGTAGCAAGATCCAGTGCTGAGGCTGAGTATAGGGCAATGACACATACGACGAGTGAGTTGACTTGACTACTACACTTCCTCCAGGAAATTGGGTTTCCAGTTCAACTTCCTTTACAGTTGTTCTGTGACAACCAGACAGCTATCCATATCGCTGCCAATCCTGTGTTTCATGAGAGACCCAAGGATATTGAGGTTAATTGTCACTTTATTCGGGACAAGATAGGAGCTGGGGAGATTACAACTCCATTTGTGAAATCTGAAGATCAGCTTGCAGATATGCTTACCAAAGTACTAAGTCGTACACGTCTTACAACTATTTGTTCCAAACTTGGATTATATGATATATATAGTCCAGCTTGAGGGGGAGTGTTAAGAATAGTAGGGTAGTATGTATAAATTGTTAATAGTAAGAGGGTGTATGTGTAATTCTTATTATTGTAGGTTAACTATAAATACAAGTGATGTATGAGAGGTAGGTTAAGTTTTAACCGCTCTCTGTTTTCTCTCTAATATTGTGTTAATTCTCTAAACTTAACACTTCTTAATACGATGTTGATGATAAACCATTTGCAGGCAAATATCGAGAGGCAGAGGATGTTATTCACAATAGTTTTCATGACAACTCGGAGCTTGATACTGTGGCATACAATACCTTTATCAAGGCAATGCTAGAAGCAGGTTAACATTAACCATTTCTTTATATTAATTGAAGAAATTTCTAGGCAGGGAAAGTTTGGGAGGACTAGTGGTGATGTTCTAGTGGTGCAGGTAAGTTGCGTTTTGCAGCCAGCATTTACGAGCGCATGCTTTCCTCTGGTGTTGCTCCATCAGTTCAGACACTTAGCACCATGATCAGGTAAGAACTTGATTTGATTCTTTCTAGAGAGGTTATAGCACAGACAAACAAAAATCTTGGGGAAATATTCCTTGTTTGTTCATCTATTTTGATGAACTGGTTGATAATGGATGCAGTGTGTATGGACGAGGCCGGAACCTGAATAAAGCTGTAGAGATGTTCAACATGGCTCAATGCATGGGTGTATCTTTGGATGAGAAGGCTTACACCAATATGATATGCTATTATGGGAAGGCGGGTAATAATTCACTTCTATATTGGTTGAAGAGATAAAGTTTTGGTTTCTTAAAACCCAATCTTGTTAACACGTGAGAACTACCTGTTAGTTACTGATTGATAAATTTTGAAGCATTTTGAGGTTACAATGAAATGAAATATGGCCTTTTTTCTACACAGATCTTGGTTACTTTCAATTAAGCAGTTCATTCTTCTCTATTATATGCATTTGTCTGCCAGATTGGATCACCAATAAAGTATGTACGTACATATGAAATAACGAATTTTCCGCATTGTTCTCCTAATATTAGAGTGTTAGAATCTCCCTTGATGTCTCTTGTGACTATATCCTTAACTTTCTTTCATAGTATCACTTCATTTCATGACGTTTTTTTTCTAAATTCTTGTAGGCAAAATTCAAGAAGCATCACTTTTATTTAGCAAAATGCAGGAAGAAGCAATAAAACCTGGGCTGGTATGGATTTAACTATTGCCAAAACTCACATATAAGAAAAAATTAAGGCATATTTGATGGTTCATTGATGTGCCGCGTCGTCACTGTTTTACAATGTCCTTGGGTAGTGCACTGTCTATTTGAAAGGGGTCTGCATTCTTTTATTTATTAACCATATATAGAGTCCGCAGGAATGGTGTTTTGGGTTGTAATTATACTTTGCGATGATGATAAATTACATGCATGAGCCATGGTCACATGTTCTCACCGGCACTTGAACCTTGCCCTCCCCCTTTGGGATATGGTTTAAAGTATTGGCTAATACCGATACGAGTCAGCACATACTGAGATGATACCATTATATCATATGTATAAACCCCGAGTCTTGCACAACTTGGTCGAGTCGTCCGAGTTATATCTGAGTCAATTTCGAGTCGCCGAGTTGTCGTCACCAAATTAGCTGATACAGATCCATAACGCCGTTGTATGACCTGAATCTCGACATGTTCAACATTTTCTTTGAGGTTGTGTCGCCTCATACGGCGCTGCGACGCCGTGACCGATGTGTCTCAAAGCTCTTCGAGTTGATGGCAGATACAACGACCTTGACCATGTTTTGGGATTGGTAGGAAATACCACCGATCTAATAGCTGGTNTTGTGTCGCCTCATACGGCGCTGCGACGCCGTGACCGATGTGTCTCAAAGCTCTCCGAGTTGATGGCAGATACGACCTTGACCATGTTTTGGGATTGGTAGGAAATACCACCGATCTAATAGCTGGTGGCAAGCTCATGATCATTGTACTTTAAAGCAATGAGCTGTGCCCTCTAATGACTTGAAAAGTATGGTAGAGTTATACGGTATGCCCCTGGTTTTCCAGTGGTTTCCTAGTTTTGGACTGTTCAATTTAGCGAGAGTCACCTGTTGAACATGCATCTGTCATTACTATAAAATTCTGTGAAACTGTTGGTCATCACTGCACTGCCTGTTGGAATTTTTGTTTCTTTGATGTTGGAACCATAAAATTCTGCTTACTTATGCTGGATGAGAAAATGCAGGTGAGCTACAATATTATGCTCAACATATATGCTACTGCAGGACTATATTGTGAAGCAGAGGAACTTTTCCATGCCATGCAGAGAGATGGTTGGTCACCTGACTCTTACACTTACCTTGCCCTGGTTCGAGCTTATACCGAGGGATTGAAATACTCTGAAGCAGAGAAAGCCATCTTTTCAATGCAAAAGCAACGAATTTCCCCTTCCTGTGCTCACTTTAACCTCTTACTCTTAGCTTTTGCGAAAGCAGGTTTAATTGCAGAGGCTCAAAGGGTTTATGGGGAACTTATTGCGGCAGGATTAACTCCTGACCTCAAATGTAATCAGAATATGCTTAGAGGTTACATGGACTATGGTCATGTGGAAGAAGGTATCTCTTTCTTTGAAAGAATTTGTGGGTCTGTGGAACCAGACAGGTTTGTTATGAGCGCTGCTGTGCACTTTTACAAGTTGGCTGGCATGGAACTCAAAGCTAAAGGTGTTTTACATACCATGAGTAGTATGGGCATTCCATTACTGAAAAATCTTGAAGTTGGATCGAAGAGAAGCTCCCTGATATGTCAGAAATAACTTTGGAAGTAGTTATTATTAATTGTGGATAATAGAGAGATATGCCTGAGATTTGATAATTTCAAATGGGTGCAGATGAATATAAGGCCATGTCTTAATCTTCTAATCTCTTATGCAGAGCTCCTGCTTCGAACCTTTTGAAGGCAGGAAGTTTCTGACAGTTGTGTTCGTGGAGGACCCTTGCAACCAAGTTCAGATTCCTGTGGTCATACACGACGGGGTTCCTCCTGTTGCTCACTCAATTTTTGGCTGATTGATTCAGAGAATTTAATTCAAACTCTCCTCTTACTCTCCACTCTTGGGAATGCAGACNATGGGTGCAGATGAATATAAGGCCATGTCTTAATCATCTAATCTCTTATGCAGAGCTCCTGCTTCGAACCTTTTGAAGGCAGGAAGTTTCTGACAGTTGTGTTCTTGGAGGACCCTTGCAACCAAGTTCGGATTCCTGTGGTCATACACGACGGGGTTCCTCCTGTTGCTCACTCAATTTTTGGCTGATTAATTCAGAGAATTTAATTCAAACTCTCCTCTTACTCTCCACTCTTGGGAATGCAGACAGACTCATGAGTGACTCAGAAAGAAAGATGATGGCAAGGCACTTGTTCTTTTGATTTTGAATGTGCATAACATTATAGTTGGAGTATGATCTCTGAGGTACTGGATTGAAATGTAAATAAGTGTACATAACTTTAGATAGCTTTGGATCAATCATAATTTCTCTGAATGAGCTGTGTAGTAGTNCACTGGATTGAAATGTAAATAAGTGTACTTAACTTTAGATAGCTTTGGATCAATCATAATTTCTCTGAATGAGCTGTGTAGTAGTAATGTATGGAAATTTTCTATAGCTTTAACTATTCTAAGGTTGTATCTTAATGTTGAAGATGGATTAGTTAATTTTATTAGCAATTTTGTTTTGGTACTTTAAATAGATATACCATTCCATATATCCTCAAGGGAGNGTAATGTATGGAAATTTTCTATAGCTTTAACTATTCTAAGGTTGTATCTTAATGTTGAAGATGGATTAGTTAATTTTATTAGCAATTTTGTTTTGGTACTTTAAATAGATATACCATTCCATATATCCTCAAGGGAGTATTATCCTTTAGTACTATACAATTATTTGCAGGAGACTTCACAACACCTATGTCGGGGTCGAAACTAATGNGAGTATTATCCTTTAGTACTATACAATTATTTGCAGGAGACTTCACAACACCTATGTCGGGGTCGAAACTAATGTTTTACCGCGTGCTCTAATTGTTGAAGAGTAATTTTAATTTTTCCGAATTGTTATAGTTGTGGAGACTCAAATTCAAGCATTGAGAAAGAAAATTTAAACAATTTTTTATCAATTTGATTTTTGGTGAATCCAATAATGTCTGGAAATGTAAGATTATAAATTGTAAGATTTGTCTGATTTATTGTCAAACTCCCTTGAGGGTGGACTATTTTTTATTTTTTTATAGTGAGTGATATAAATATATATATATTTTTGAGTTAATTGCACTAAAAGTCTCCAAAATATGAAGTTTGTCTCATTTTGGTCCATGAAGTATTGAATATGTTTCTTTATGGTCGGTCACTCAATTTGGACATTATTTGTTTAAAGGACCATATAGAAACATATTCAATACTTTAGGAACTAAAATGATGCAATTGAAACATTGGGGACCAATATGAGACAAACCTCAAACTTTGGGGACCTTTAGTACAATTAACCCTATGTTTTTTCAACATCTTTTATGAAATCATATAAACCATATTTTCTTATTTTTATACAAAATTGTAGTGAATAAGGTGACCTTTAGCTCCATGGGGGAATGTATACTTGATAATCACAATTATTTTGAATAGATAGTAAATTAAATAAATACTAAGCCTCACAATAAAATTAATAGTTTTAATTATCAATTACATATTTTAAATCCGCTTTTTAATATAATATTGCTCACGACAGAAACGAGAGAATCGCCAGTGCGGGCCAGGCCCAGGCCCAAGCCCAACACCTAAATTAAATTCAGTTTTATTTACCGACACTACACCTCCTCCCTCTCTCTCTCTCTCTCAGATTTGGGTATGTCTGTCTCCTGGGCTATAATGATAGTAGCTTGCGGAAGAAAACAAGGAATTTCAATGGCTTCGAATCTAATTAAAACCCTAGTAACTCGAGGCTCTAACAATTTGCCTCCACATTCTAGGAGTCTTAGCAGCATCGTCAGCAGTGAGGTCATCACCTCCCACACTGACAAATGGATGCAAGTAACAAACATATATGCGAATGTTGAAATGATTCGATCTTCGNGGAGTCTTAGCAGCATCGTCAGCAGTGAGGTCATCACCTCCCACACTGACAAATGGATGCAAGTAACAAACATATATGCGAATGTTGAAATGATTCGATCTTCGTGATAGACCTACTATCGTTCGTATTTGATGTGTAATAGGAATTTTCGAATTCTCCTAGGGTTTTCGACTTTGTTAGTATTTCTCTTCAGTTTCTCTCTCCATTAATTAACATGCTTATTTTGGGTCGGGGTTATCTGAACTGAAAAAACAAAATCATTTGATTTGATAGTTGAACCATGGTGTTTATTTCCATAATCGNTAACATGCTTATTTTGGGTCGGGGTTATCTGAACTGAAAAAACAAAATCATTTGATTTGATAGTTGAACCATGGTGTTTATTTCCATAATCGATGTAAAATTGATTGATTGATTGATTTGTTTAGGATAAAAGTAAGAAATCTCCGATGGAGTTGATCAATGAAGTTCCACCAATTAAGGTTGAAGGCAGGATTGTCGCTTGTGAAGGAGGTTTGTATACATTACATACACTTGGATTGGATGGTTTCTCATATTAGTTTAATTTCATGTTTTGCAGGCCAGGCCAGACATTCTTGTAAACATGGATGGATTGAATTAGATATAGATTATTATGAGTCTATGTTAAATTAGTGTCACCTGGGACCATTCATCTTTTTACAATCTGTATGTATTTTTTGTTTCTTTCCTGCAGACAGCAATCCTGCACTTGGGCATCCGATTGAGTTCATATGCCTTGACCTGAAGGAGCCAGCTGTGTGCAAGTATTGTGGTCTACGATATGTTCAGGATCACCATCACTAGGGCTTGGTTGTGTTGCCATGGTGATTAGATGGGCGGTATTTGGACATTCTTGGTGTATTGATGATGATATGGTCTCATGGCAGGCATGTGTTCCTGCTTTTCAGCAAGAAACAAGGGCCTGATTTACGTTGGTCTAAATTGCTCACCATAATTGCACACTTTCAATATACATATATATGAATTTCTTGACTTTTTAGCTTTTCCTCCAATATCCAAAAAATACTCGTATANGCTCACCATAATTGCACACTTTCAATATACATATATATGAATTTCTTGACTTTTTAGCTTTTCCTCCAATATCCAAAAAATACTCGTATAGTAATAATGGTCAGTAGTAAGAGGTCTGCATTAAGCTTACTTTTGTGGCTGGTTGAGTTATTGATTCATTTTAATAGCTATAATAATAATCACTAATAATAAAACNGAAACAAGGGCCTATTTGCGTTGGTCTAAATTGCTCACCATAATTGCACACTTTCAATATACATATATATGAATTTCTTGACTTTTTAGCTTTTCCTCCAATATCCAAAAAATACTCGTATAATAATAATGGTCAGTAGTAAGAGGTCTGCATTAAGCTTACTTTTGTGGCTGGTTGACTTATTGATTCATTTTAATAGCTATAATAATAATAATCACTAATAATAAAATCCAAAAACAGCACATATTTATACTTGCAGAAGGTAGAACCTCAAGGCAAGAATCTTACGCATGATCCATGTCATAGCCTAAAATAAATGTTAGGAATCTGACAACAGCAAAACGAATGAGTCGTCGTATTGCTAGAATTCCTTTTCTTCTAGCTCCTCTCCTCTCCTCTCCTCTCCTCTCGGTGGTAAAACGGAGATTATCATTCTTGATGTCTTCTTCTCATCTCTCTGTGTGTCTGTGTGTGTCCGTGTGTTATAACTAGCTATATCTAGGATGATGAATTATTTCTAAGAAGACTTACTTCCGTGGAGAAGTCCAGCCCCGGAAGGTGAAGAAAGGACACACAATTATGTGTATGTGTGTGTGTGTGAAATGAGAGNTACTTCCGTGGAGAAGTCCAGCCCCGGAAGGTGAAGAAAGGACACACAATTATGTGTGTGTGTGTGTGTGTGAAATGAGAGACACCACACCGCACCACACCACCTATCAATACTCTAATAATGACATTGTTGCTATAATTGATTAGCTCTGAAGATTTAACATACCAAAATCCCTCATCGGGGGGAAAATCATGACAAATAAATATATTCCCCAAAAGAAAATTGTAATGCGGACTAATCTATGATTGAATACAAAAGCAGATACTCACCTGCTCAATCTTAGCCAAGTAACACAAATAATGAGGAGTAACACATAACGATAACACTCCATCAAGTGCTAGCTCCGTCAGCAGCAGCTAGTTTCCTTCTCTGCTGATGCTCCGCGACTTTATAATCTACCACTTCACGAAACAGGCTTGGATCAAGCACACAATTCTCACTCCCATACACAGCAGCTTGAACGCTTGCCATCAGTTTTGCTATCTCTCTTCCCGAAAATCCCTCAGTCTTTGCTGCAGCTTCCCTCAGGATATCATCAGTCAAGCCCCTGATTTCTATCTTCTGCTGTTGTTTCTGGAACAAGTGTGAAAACAAGCCTCGTTTCCTTGCCCCAGCTTGAGCTATGTACTTGTCCAGATAAAGTCTAAGCAGCTTGAAGCGTTCATCTTCGCCAGGCAAAGGGAATTCTAGGATTTCATCAATACGGTCTGCCACAGCTGAATCAAGATCACCAGGGCGGTTTGTAGCAAGAGCAAGGACAATGTCTTTGGATTGGTCGCCCGTACGAAATAGGAGGGCATTGAGGGCACTCCTTTGTGCCTCACTCATATAAGTTTTGTTCCGCCTGAAAATTTTGTCAAAAGTTCATGTAAGACGGATGCTAAGATTCCAATTTAATTGAAAATTGTTCATGTCAGAATATTGCATGGTGATGGGGAATGCACAAAACTCCATAATAAAGTACCAAAAAAAGGTGAGATATGATTAAAATAACAAATGACAGATTACTCTAGCTAGGGGATGATCACCACAGATTGCAGCAGGAGATAATACTCTGTGAACAAAGTCTTACAGAACATTGTACACAAGTATACTAATTAACTCAACTTGGAAGCAGCCTTTTTTTGTATTACGTATACAATCATTTTTGTTCTCTCACAGGACTATATTTAACGTTTAATATTCACAAACCTTCAATACGACCTCCTTCAAGGAAGTTGAACTCTTTAATCATGGATATAGAAGGTGGTGATGTCAATTATATGATNACTATATTTAACGTTTAATATTCACAAACCTTCAATACGACCTCCTTCAAGGAAGTTGAACTCTTTAATCATGGATATAGAAGGTGGTGATGTCGCTAATGGTCAATGAGACCTACCAAAATCAATTAGAGCACCAACAACAATAACAGTAAATGAGTGCTAAATGCCACTTACTCGCACAAAAATGCATCCGCTTCATCAATGAAAAGCAACAAACCCCTGTTGGACTTCTTTGCCCAATCAAACAACTGGTGTATCTTAGTAACAGCCTGTGAACCCAATGGTGCAACATCTCCACCTGTCATCAATGCATAATCAAGCCCCTGAGAGCATGTCAAACTGTGTCAGAGGCAAAAAATGAAAATGGGACTTTCTTCATAGGCCATTTTTTATTGAGCTCCGAAATAAGTGGAATGTACAATTCAAAGCTAATTTTTTAAATATGTACCACAAGCAAGCAAAAAAATGTCATTCCAGAAAACAAATCCCACTATTCAAATAACAATGATATTAGAAAAGACGGGGATATGATCTCATACAGATTTTCTAGCAAGCTCTCTTGCAGCCATTGTTTTCCCTGTCCCTGGAGGACCGTAGAAAAGCATGTTTCGAAACGGTGCCTGATGGGATTTTGTATTGGCAGTAGCACTAGCCAATTGCTGAATTCGTTTTTGAAGAGAAGGGTTCAAGATCACATCACCAAACCCATTCCCATTCTGGGAGGCAGATCCTTTATCAGCACGACGTGAGACAGTGCTCTTCGCACGTGAAAACAAGCCTGACCAAGGGTATTTTCCCCTAGAAGACTCTCTGATCAATGATGGTTGTCCTAGTATTCTATCCACATAACTCCAAAGCACCCTTGCACCTTCTCTGCATATGAGAAACAAGCTTGCATAAGCCTTAGCAGAACAAATAAATGAGCTGGCAATTCTTTTAAAAAGAGAAACTACAATAAGCCTAAGCAAGAGAATTGCTGGGAGACTCCAAAAGCCACTGGAAATTGAATCCACCTAACTACATGTGCATACTAAACATAGAGGACATAAACTGTAGCCTGCTTTTTATTGGAATGGAAACTGTCTCATGGCTTAAAGGCGGTGATCAATTGAAATGGTTGAGAAAAACTGTTGTGAATCCTCTGAAGGTAAGTACGAAATGTATCATCACCAGATATTAAAGTAGCTTACTTGCCAGATTCCACTGGCAAACAGATGTCTAACGTAGAAAATTGACTTAACAAACACAAATGCACAGCAAAGTTGAAGCTTTAGTGTCTGCAGAAATATGCTATCAGATGCTAGAATAAAATCAAAAGGCCAAACTTTGCCTTAAAAGACATCTAATAGGTCTCCACTCCACTGTATTATCTTACCAACCTATGCATGAGTAACAAAACATATCTCCATGAACATGTAGACATTTCCTATATTGCCTCTTCTTCTCCCTCTTATGTAGACATTTCCATTAGCATGTAGACATTTCTCCATATAATGTTCAGCTCCTATTAGTATCCATGACACAAGTTGGATCCAAGATGTAGAAATTAAACTAGAAATATGAGATGGCAGATTTCTTTTCCATCGAAAGAAATGAGAAAGATGGAGCATAGTACACCATTTCAATAAGATGGTCCTGAGCACCCTTCAAAAGTCATAGGTCCTGAGTACAAGTTTCCCCTCGAGCCATCCCCACAAATTTATCCCAGAAAATACCTAATGAAACAAGAGTGGGTTAAGTGGGTGCTCTAATGGACCCAGATATCTTCATGTTGGATACACCGTATAAAAAGTAGAATACATTAGTCATGGCTTAGAAATTCTTAAAAAAATGAGAGAGGAATAACAGTGTCAACTAAGGACATTGATACACTTGCGACTCAAAACTGCACGCCAGGACTTGTACAAGTTTAAAAAGCAGCACTCAATATACTTGTAGGACACACAAGGAATATGTCCTTTATTTACAACAATTCGATACCTTGTTGTGTAGATCCCTGCCGCAAGAGCTGTGACACCACCAACAGCAACAACCAGCTTATTTTGATCCGTTAATATTGCCCGCAAACCCCCTATTCAAGATAGATGAATCCCCATCAATAAATAAAAACATATACTTTATGTCAAAGCAAACATTGGAACATGTAAATATCTGGCAACATGCGACAGCAAGAAGCAAAAAACCCCTTCAGCAAATTCTAGGATTTTGATGCACTTCTGACACATCACACAGCATACTGAGACAGTGAGACATATGACGAGTTGTTCACAAAACCTCATTTACTCAGTTCTGAACCTTAATATACATCAGAAGCAGAGTTGTATCAAATGACATGTCAAAAGCATCAAACCAGGATGTTTAGGCACAGCGATGTTGAATTTATATTAAAGATTCTACCACATGTATAGAAGTTTGACAACAACCCAAAGAACAGGTGTATAGTTAAACAGTAGATCAACAAGCACTGATAGGGCTAAAAATTCATGCAGAGTTTCTTGTCTATTCAAGTTCCAGCAGAACAGATTAGTTGTAAGAAAACCTGTATGAAAAGTTACCTCCAATATGATCAAAAGTGGTGTTTATAGCAGCAACCCATTTCTCTCTCTCTGCATTTGCACGTTCCACTAGCATTCGTCTGTTAACCTCTTCAGCAAGCTTCGCCTCATGGGCACGACCTTCTGCTTCAGCCATAGCTCTCACCCTAATTGTTTCACGTTCTATCTCAGCCTTTTCTCTTTCTGTCTGACGTCGTTGGGCTTGAATTTGTTCTTCTGTTGCTCGTCTGGCTGCCTCTTGCCTATTAGCAGATTCTTCTTGCATTTTTACAAGCTCTTGATTTCTTGCTCTTTGATGTTCATTTTCTGCCTGCAAAAGTAAGGAGCGATTATCTTTCACCATTCTAAAAACTCAGACAGTCAATGAAATGCCACAAGGGTCTCATGCCTGCATCCTCTTCCTTGCCAATTCATCTTCATAGCGAGCCATCTGGGACTTCATTTGAGCTTGTTGCTGAGCTAGCTTTTTTTGTTCATCATATACTACCCTTTGTCTCTCCTGCAAAAAAGAAAAAAAAGAAAGCCAATAATGATATAGAAAGGCCAACAACACATTCTGTTTGGATTGCTGAAAATCATGCCCGCAACATTTAAGGAGTGCAGAACTCATTCATCGGGTTAAAAAGGGGCAGAACTATTGAAAAACCATCCCTTCCATACAAGAGGGCAGCCATCAAACAATTAATTTAACATTATTCCATTTTCCTGAAGAGAGTTGTGTTTTTTTTAAAAAAAAAATTTCTTGGACAAAGATGAGTTAAACAAAGAAACCTTATAAGTTTTCAACTTCCTCAAAAAGGATAGTTTAAGAGTTGCCTAATGAACCCAAGATGCATAGATAACCCTTTGAACGAGTCACTTCACCATCCCAAGCAACAAAAGAGAAATGTCAATCTTACTGTTTCAGCTTGAGCTTGAATTGCTTTGAACTCTGCCGATTTTGCAGCTAATTCCGTTTGTCTAGTCTCTTCTTGCTTCTTCATCAATTCAAAAGCCTACACCAATATAAATAAACCATCATTACCTCTAGTAAACATAAAGACGTAACAAATTCTTGAAAAAAAAAAGAATTTTTAATCAAATCCAAAACCAAACCCTTATTACAAAACAGAGATACCAATAACAATAAATCCCCTCCATAAAAGAAAATCAAATAATCCCTTTTATAGAAACTGTGTAAAATGCACAGCTGAGGGTCTACCCCTTCACAGCCACCAACCACCGTAATTCCACCCCAAAACACAATAAACCCATGACAAGCACTCGCACAAAAACCCCAAATTCCAAACCTTTTTGCCATTCGCAGAACTACTAATCTCTCGAAGCGCCTTAGCTCCCCTCTCCAATGCCTCAGGATCGAACCCAGCCGATGTGGTTCGTGGGTTATCATTGCGAACCCGTGACGGCTCCGCATTCGCCGCTGGTGCCTGCGCTGGTTTTGCTGACGCAGGAGAAGCTTGGGACGATATTGAAGGCGAAGAAGAAGAGNTCGTGGGTTATCATTGCGAACCCGTGACGGCTCCGCATTCGCCGCTGGTGCCTGCGCAGGTTTTGCTGACGCAGGAGAAGCTTGGGACGATATTGAAGGCGAAGAGGAAGAGGAAGAGGAAGAGGAAGAAGAGAGGGGATAAAAATTGGAAAGGCCATCGGCATAGGCATGTTCAACAGCTAAGGTTGCAGAGGCTATGGCTGAGATAAGCCCCGCAACAGAAGTTCTTGCCATCTTCACTTGTCTCTAAAACTCTTTACCCCTCCCAAAAGAATAGTGAATCTGAGATTTAGACTGTACGAACTGTAAGAATTCTACGGATTTTATAGATGGACAATATCATAATGGCTTGAAGAACAAGGAAGGGGCTAATAAAGGCTCTATACAAAGGCAACTTGAAGGAAAACTGGGAATGGAGAGAGAAGTGACAAAAGTTTCGGGGGGGTTTTGGTAGGGTTTGTGAGCTTCTCTGTGCAATGGCAGTGATGGGCTCAGTTTATATACCGAATGGCGAAGGCTATTTTTCCGATAAGGCTTCCCTCGATGGGTTTGGGCTGCGGATATGGGTTTGTCTTGGTTTTTTTCCGGTTCGCAATTGGGTTTGGGCTTTGGGTTGCGGAATGGCTTCATTTTGTTTTTGGGGAGGAAAAACTTGAATTGTTAACCTCAAAAAATCAAAAATTTTAAAAGACAAGGAGAATTATTGAATCAAAAGCCCGTTGGTTTCGCTTTGCTGAATATTACATATTAGGGGTCCCACCAGTGCTAGTGCGATACCCGTAACTTATAACTCATTATTTTTTAGTTATACATATCATGCGATAGTATCATATAGTATACACAACCAATGAAAGACTATTACAAAAACAACTTTTGGGACACACAAATTATTTTTCTCAAAAAAAATTATAACAAAGGTGATAGATGTTAGTCATTTATTGAACATGTATAATTTTTTATTAGTGATGTATACAATATGACACTATCATGGGTCTGTGTTAAACACATTGAAAATTTTCTTGGGAAAAAAGTCATTTTGCCAAGGTTGGTGTCTAGGAATTTTTGGCTTTAGGACAGGCAAGTAGTCATGAAGGGCTTGCACACTGCTCTATTATTATCAGTTGAGGCTTAAACCCTTGATCTAGCAAGTGGTGTCATAACTTATAACTATCTAGGTCAGTCATATCTAGGTCAGAGAGATGGTTAAAAACACTTTGCAATGCTATTTGTTTTTGCTCCTTCAACACTTTTATCATCTTTCTTGAATTATTATTTTATTGCTTGTGTATTCTTGTGATGACCCAAACCCACACCTCTGGTTTCCTCCCATCCCAATAATGCCTAGTATCAGGACCCNTGCAATGCTATTTGTTTTTGCTCCTTCAACACTTTTATCATCTTTCTTGAATTATTAATTTATTGCTTGTGTATCCTTGTGATGACCCAAACCCACACCTCTGGTTTCCTCCCATCCCAATAATGCCTCGTATCAGGACCCATTTTGATAGCATATATCAATTAAGATGCTAAAATATATATGATACAACCAACAAAAGGGAATTTTGGAAGTGCATTTTACTTCCAATTATTACAAAAAAATGGATTAAATAAATACAAATCAAAATTACATTCAACCCAAGGGAAAAAGAAACATGGTCTGAGACAATTTCAATCATCAGAGACTTGGGTAAGTTCATATTGCATTGTCTTCCCTATTTGTTTCACACCAGTTTAATGCCATGAAATTAAGACAGAAGGTGTCTAGCTAGACCTTACACAAACACAACATAATCAGAAAGAATTTTAGGACAGGGTGGAGGCTGTGGCCAGTTTAGCTCTCAGATCTTTCCTTAAAATTTTGCCTGAAGGAGACTTTGGGATGGCTTGAACAAAGTATACCTTATGCAGTCTCTTGTAAAACACCACCTGTTTGATACAAAAGAGCAATCCATTCCATTAGTTAGACAAGTTTGGTCACTGTTAAAGGTTAATTTTAGTAGTATAATCTTCTAAGAAAAAGCTAAAAAGATTAACATATACCTGTTTTGCAATGAATTCTTTAACAGCTTCTTCTGTCAGTTCAAATTCGAATCCATTTGACAGAACTACAAATGCAACCGGAACTTCACCAGCAGCATCATCTTTTTGCCTGCCAAAACGCTTAATTTAGACTCGTGACTTAGGTTATGATAATTTCAAAGGATTATGGATGTTCATTAGTGTGACTTACGGAACGACAGCAGCATCTGCAATGTGTGGGTGGGTCACAAGAAGTGCCTCGAGCTCGGCTGGTGGCACCTGATCGAACCAGGCAAAGGGTGTCATGTCATTGGATGATATCAAATGAATTTATGGATCAGGATCACCAGGGCAAAATCAATATCTAAATATCTGACAAAGTAGACAGTGAAACATGCCTGAAAACCTTTGAATTTGATAAGTTCTTTCATTCTGTCAACAATAAAAATTTCTTCGCCATCGTCCACATAACCTATGTCACCAGTGTGGAGCCACCCATCCACATCGATGGTCCTGGCCGTGGCCTCGGCATCGTCCAAGTATCCTATTATGCATGAATACACATTGGAGATCATGACTAGCTAATAAAACTAAGGAGGATAATAGACTAATCATATATATATATATATATGTATACCCAACTCGACTATATAACCTGAAAATAGAATCGTTTATCATGGTAAACAATTTAAACTGAACAAGAAATTGGTAAAACTAGCCTTTCATGATTTGATGTCCGCGGATGCATATCTCGCCGGGTTGGTTTTGGCCAAGGGAACAACCCGTCTCAGGATCAACAACCTTGAGCTCGGCATTCCGGACGACGGTGCCACATGAGCCAGACTTGGTAGGAAAAGGTTGCTTCGCAAATGATAGGGACATTGATAGCACTGGCCCGGCTTCAGTCATGCCGTAACCCTAAAATAAAAAAGGGTAAATAAATATCAGTTTATGCCATGGTAACAATTTGCTATAAAGATGAATAATCAAGTTACAAGTGCATATGGCAATTAGTACAGTTTTGAATTTGATACCCCAAAATGGGTTAGTTCGAGCCATAAGTGGAGTGCTTTATAGTAAGTGTACTGGGATTGTCATTAATACAACCCAAACGTTGGTGTGGCGTCCTTTTATTGTTCATTGACTATACACCACATTTACTTACTTATCCATTTAATACACTCTTTTAAGTCTTAAATGCACTCCCAGTCCAAAGGCATCTATATCTCTCTCTCTCTCTCTCTCTCTCTCTCTCTCAGGGAGGCCTTTAGAAACAAAAAAAAAAAACTATTTCTAGGAGAGAGACGTGAAAATTATATCTTCTTTCAAACACCCTTAACCATAGGATCGGTGTCAACGTAGTCTATTCCACAACCACTATTAAATTAGCTGAACAATCTGTCACTTAATTGGCCACAGAAGAAGNAGGATCGGTGTCAACGTAGTCTATTCCACAACCACTATTAAATTAGCTGAACAATCTCTCACTTAATTGGCCACAGAAGAAGCTCCGAGGCCCACATGCATTAACCAATTGAACCCGAGAGAGAGAGAGAGAGAGAGAGGGACTCGGATGGCCATAAATGACCGACCAATTGGAGGAAAATCCAAGACACTTTCTATCATTTGTTTCGGTTCACGGATCACAATCGTTGAATAAATAGAATAGATAGAAAATCTCAATAAATATTAAACTTCACCTAAATCAAACGAACGACAGTAATTGATATTTGCTATCAATTTTTAGAGTTCAAATATCATTATTCTTTTTAATTTTTAAGTCTTTTTCTTTTTGTGTATATTAGTTGAGTTTTGAGAGACATATATAATATATATCATAATTAATTTTGTGTTGGAAAAGCAAATAGAAAATTACAATTTGAAAAAGAAGGATGGATCTTATTTATTATCGAGACTCAAATAATTTCAAAAGTAAATTAGATGCGAGTACAAAACAACTAAAAAAAAAAATGTGTGTACCTGACCAAAAGTAGCCTGGGGGAGTCTGCTCCGGAGAGCCTCCTCCAGCTCCTTTCCTAGTGGTGCAGCCCCGGACAACACCATGCGAATAGAGGTCAAGTCAAACGACTCCAATATCGGATTCTTAGCCAACGCCAGGACCAGCGGTGGCACAACCGCTGCCACCGACACGCGGTGCCTTTGTATCAGATCCAGCAGAGCTCCTATCTCAAACTTGTGCATCATAAGGACTCCAGCCCCGGCTCTTAGAGAACACAAAAGCACAGAATTTAATGAAAATATGTGGAATAGTGGAAGAACGCACAAAACTACATCGTCTGCCTTCAAGTACAGGTTAGGGTTCTCGCCATCAACTTGTTGAGCGACGCTCGTGATCAAGCTCTTGTGGGTCAAGATCACACCTTTCGGTAGTCCTGTTGTCCCTGATGAGAATGGTAGGGCTACTGGGTCGTTGGGATCTATAGAAACTGATGGGACTTCATTTTCATTGGCCTCAGAAAGTACTGAGAAATGGAGGCAATTCTCTGGTGGATCATCAACTGTAATCACTCTGAACTCTTCACCAAGTTTTTGATAATTCTCACCACCATGATCACGAAGCTTGTCGGCGTACTGGGATTGGGTAATGATCAGTTTGGCTTTGCAAGCATTGAATTGTTTGAATATTTCGGCTGAAGTGTAAAAGGGGTTTGCAGTGGTGGTAATTGCACCGATCATTGAAGCACCCATGAATCCAAATACGAATTCGGCACAGTTCTGAAGGAGAAGCATGATAACATCGCCTTTTTGGATGCCGAGTTTGGATAGCCCAGCTGCTACTTTTTGGCAAATGATATATGTTTCGGTGAAAGAGTAGGATTTACCATTGTTGCCTACAATGAGACAGGTTCTGTCAGCGAAATCTGAGAACCTCTCAAAACAGTACGTGTGGAGAGGGAGGTGGTTGGAGATGGGTATCTCTGGCAACTTTGATCTAAAAACATGGGAGGCAGAAGATGGGTTTGTTGTGGGAGGGACTGTGGAAGAGAGATCAGGCCGCTTTTGGGTTTCAACAGATGCCACAGATAGCATTGTTTGCTCACCCTCCTTTGCTTATTACTTAGAAGTTCTTCTCGAATATATGACTGAAAATGGGTATGTATCTGTGTGTGTGTCTGAGAGAGAGAGAGAGAGAGAGAGAGAGAGAGAGAGGGAGGGAGTTAGCAGGTTTAGAGAGAGAAGGGAAAAATAAATAAATACAGAGACGGGAAGAGAGGGGTAGGTAGAGATCTGAGATGGGTGAGAAAGAAATAAGTGGTAGCTTGGTGGATGAGTGAAGCACGCCCTTCTCACGTTCTGATTGGTAAACCAGTCCTTTTCCTCTTCGTCAATACACCCAGCCACCTAACCTTCTTGTTTTTACATCCACCCGCTACGAAGACACTCACGCCAATCCATATATATCTTTATAATAAATTAGATAGGGATTTAAATTTATGAGAAATACATTTTATTCTCAAAATTTTACGCACCTAACGTACACTTTTTTTCCTAAATTTCAAAAATTTAATACATATACTCTACAGCACATCCATACATACACTCTAATACGCACATTCTAATACATATATAGCATCATAATTCAGTATTCAGTGACTTGAGTCACGAAATATCGTTAATATATATATACTAGCGATACTTTGTGACTGAAGTCACTAAATATTAAATTGTGACACTATACGTGTATTGGAGTGTGTGTGTATAGTTGGAGTGTATATATAATGTGTGTGTATGTGTAGTGAGTGTGTGTCGAAGTATGTGTAGTAGCTATGTGTTGTGAAGTATTTGTGTTGGGTTTGTAAAATTTGGGAGGGAATGTGTGTGAAATTTAGAGAGAAAAATATACCCCCTATAAATTCAAACACATAACTATCTTATTAGATAGATATATATATAAAATATAAAGCAGGTTAGATTTTAATAAATTTATCGAACAATCGACCTAATTTAAAGACCTAGTCAAAAACTTAATCTAATATGATCATTAATTTAGTTATAAATTTCAATATTAAGTAGAACTTATTTTTAATCTAATGATTACATTGAAGTAAGTTTTAAAATTAAGTCTCAATAGGTAATAATATTAATGAAGTCATCACACATTCCATGATAGACTCAGAGTAAAATTTGAACCGATAGTTGTGAAAAAATTGATCCTTGTCTTACCAAAAAGTATGACAGTCATTTTGGTGAAACATTGAAATGGTAACATCCCTCGAGTTTTTTATTGGTCGGAATTTTGATGGACTTAAGCTAATTGTCTTGATCGTAGAATTTAATTGAGAAATAAGAATCTGTCTAATTCAACTATATATTTCCTGTCTAATTGAGAAATAGCATTAAAAAAAATTTCTTTTATGTTTGGATGTAATATTCCTTTGCTTTTGTAATGTCAGATTTCCAATGAATGAACATTTGAACCGTTGAGGTTTTCAAGTTGCCCACTACACTACTAAAGAAACTTCACTGACTTACCACAAAGATGAAGTTTGAAGTTTAAATAACCCTTCAAAGCATAGCCCTTGAGAACCTGATTTTTGTGGACTGGGGTTTGTTTCGGCCGGTGCCGGGGCTGTTGACAGAGTCAGATTAAGGTCACTGACTGGTGGTGCTAAGAACTGCGATGACGGAGAACGAGGTGCAGCTGCTGCTACTGGAGGCCTTGTACTATTAGAGTAAGTAGGAGAGGGAAGTGAACTATTATGCTCTGGAATCACTGTTGCTTCCACCACCCCATTTATGCCATGGCATCTAATTGACGACCTGGCAGTGTAGATATTAGGACTGATGATCCGGACATTGTTAAGAAAGAATCGCCTTCTACCATTGTTGGAAATCTTAAGCATGAACTCTGGCTTCGACTTTGGTATTATGGAACCTGTTGGGATTGTTTCTAGGTGTTCGAAGAGCATAGGAGACGGGATTGAATGACGAAGTAAGAAATCAAAAACAGCGTTCTCTGGTATCAAAGCTGTTGCGAGTATCCCATCATTGGGCATCAAGAAAGTGACATTCCCTTGAATAATATTTCCGGGAACCATGTTGATCAGCCTGACAAAGGTGAAGTAGTCGATGAGATGATGAGTGCCATGAGAGGAACTGACAATGCCCTATGAGTGGCCATGTGGATGTTCCTTGCACTGGATGGCTGATGAATTCTCCTTGGTGTATTTGATGTTCTTACGAGTAACTGTCAACTGTTTTTCTAGGTGGGTTAGTTTAGATTAACTTGATCATGCACCTCTGTTGCTTCAATTACTAAGTCCACACCTTCTGCGTGAATGGAGAGCTTTTTAGGGAATTCATAATTGTTTTTCAGAACTGTAGTATACGTACTTGAACTGCCCACTGAAATAGACCACTTTTGTGTTTCTCCCCCTGTTGGTTATCCTGAAACAGTACAATTTAAAGCACAAAGAAGGTGATGCTGGACAACTCGATTAGAGATTACGGTCTATTCGAGCATGGAAGATCATGAAAAATGGCAATAATTTGAGGAACAGAGATGGCTTCAATTCCAAAATCATCTCTGGATTGCAAAATATGCACCTATGTGCAACTGCTTATCCATCGGTGTACAACGAAACATTCAAATGCATAATCCATATACAGATAAACAATAAAGAATTGCTTATGAATTCATGTTGCAATTCTCTAAGACCTATCCATCTCAGTGAAATGGATAAAAATGTCAGGTGACACTACACTACANCAATTCTCTAAGACCTATCCATCTCAGTGAAATGGATAAAAATGTCAGGTGACACTATACTACATGGCATAATAGGATTCATAGAGTCGAACCAAACAAGGCTTGGTGTTTGAGTTGTAAACAACACATTTGAATTGGTCCAAAGAACAGAACATGCCCGACTAGCTAAAGACTTCAAGTCTTCAAGAGATTCACCTGATAGGAAAAATTACTTGTCAAGGAAACTGGAATGAACCTCCAATTTGGTTATTGCCTTGTGGGGGATTGATTGCCACCCAAAGAAGAGATATGGTGATTGCAATAAGTCCTGACCACACGAAAACAATTGTGGGCGTCCTCCCTCTTCTTCCCATTAACCCTTTGGCGAAGGGGTAGAGATGTGCCAAAACCCAAAAGCTAAAGAAAACCCCACCTAACAGGCGACTCCACTGCGGAATCACACTGTATATAGTTCGGCTGAACCCCACTGCTATGGCAATCAAGTTGGTCATCATAATTGTGATTGGTGGAATCATGAGGGATGTCCACTTGACAACATAGAGATCAGCAAAATCATCATCTTCATCATCACCAGCTGATTTTGATGTCAAGGTGAAGGAAATCTCAATCCCAGCAATGACCTTTAGCAGCCCCTGAAGCACAGCTGCCAAGTGAGCACTAGTGCCTCCAATCAACCAAAACTGCTCATTCCTCCACCACTCCTCTAGTTCAATGCCTGACCACTTGATCTCAAGCACAGCAAGCATACAGAGAGTAATGGAGATGACCAGAAGGTAGACAAGAAAAGTGACATTGAGAGTTTGGACAATAAATTGCCCAGAGAATAGGGAGAGCGCTGGAAGAAAGCAGTAGACAATTAAAAAGATGGAAGTGAAGGGGTAGATTCCAACATTGAGGTATGCAATCCTCTGCAAAAACTTCATTCTTGAGCTTGCCAAGAGGGCATTGTTGCGAGAGAAGAATATCTCAACAGAGCCAGTAGCCCAGCGAAGAACCTGATGGAGCCTATCTGTGAGATTGATTGGGGCAGTCCCACGGAAGGCATCCCGCTTGGTCACACAGTAAACTGATTTCCATCCCCTGTTGTGCATCCTATACCCTGTGACAACATCTTCAGTAACAGACCCGTAAATCCACCCAACACGCTGTCCCCACTCTGTCTTATCCTCGTACCAGCATGAGATGACGCTGATTGCCTCTGCAACAGAAGATGCATCAAGGAGCTCTCGGGGAATGGTGAGAGCACCAGGAGGCCGGCCATTCTTCACTGCTGGATGATCCGCAAGGGGTCGGCCTTGGAACTCTGCAACTGGGATTGAATCGATGAGGAAAGTTGAGTTTCCAAACTGCTTAGGAGCCAAGGAGAGGTTCATGCATTCATCATCCGAGTCACCCATCCTCAAGGCTCGGTTCTCTTCTGGAGTGTTGGAAACTGTGGCATGCTTTTTACGACGGGTGAAGCAGCACCTACAGCAGCCAGACTGGTGTTCTTTTGCTCGAGGAGGGTCAAAGCCATATAGGGCGACCCTTCGAAAGAGGCATCCCGTTCCGACATAGACTGGACCCTGAAGGCCATCAAGGGCTCGCATATTACCGTCAAAGAAAACAGTGTTGTGATTGGCATAGCGATCGGATGGGTCTATTCCCTCAAATCTCTGAGGGAACTGGACATAGCAAAGGCGGTCTCCACCTCTATCCATCATGAAGCACATGCCTTCCCTCATAGCCTCGGAGTTATAGATGTAGTGGTCACAATCAAGGTTGAGAATGAAGGGGCCATTGGACATGATTGCAGAGGCTCGAACCAGGGCATTCATGGCCCCTGCTTTCTTGTTGTGATCATAGCCGGGTCGCTTCTCACGGGAAACATAAACAAGCATGGGGAGACGAATATCAACATCAGTCAGGTCAATGACCCCGTCATCAGCTGTGCCTGTTAACGGTTCATCACTCGGAGGTTTCAACATCACCTGCATCATTTAAGTGGCCATTGTTAGGTTTTCTTTTCTTCGTGTTGTTTTTAGTTTAATATTCTAACCGTCTCATCAATAAGCATCATCAGTTAGAGCACATAGACCGATCAAATAGTACCTGTATTATTCCAGCATGATCACCCCGAGAGTGCTCCGGTGCAGGATTCGACCAAGTCCCTGGCCAGTGAGTTCCATCCGCCATCCATGTAGCCTTCGGGATCTTGACACTCTCTAAAGGTTCATCATTGCTCTTCTCTCTCTCTTGTTTCATGGCTTTTATTTCCTCCCTGGCATGATAGGCGTCAGACCGGCGGCGGATGGAGTCCAGCAGGCCATTAATGCGAACCTTGAATTCATCATACTCACGCTTTACCCGTCTACGATCCTTGACAAAGTCTGTCTTTACCTTGTTTTTGTAAGGATCCCTCTTCAAATTAAAATAAGATTCAGGGTTCCTGGGCTCAATGTCATGTTTGCGGCAAAATGGCACCCATGTATTAGCAAAGCTTGCAGCTTCCGCCATGGCTTCAAAGGTTAACAGTGCACCTCCATCATCAGAAACATAACAAGAAAGCTTTTCAACAGGATAATCAGCAGCTAGAATGGACAAGATTGTATTTGCAGTGACCAGAGGGGGTTCCTTCTCCGGATCTGCTGTGGAGACAAAGATATCTATGCCTGGGAGATCAGATTTCCCACTAGGATTGTTTGGGCTTGGTGTTTCAAACTTCTCTTTCAAGACATTAAGGTCTGTAGCACGATTGATAGGGCAGAGCTTGGGCAGTTGATCAAGAACCCAAGAGAAAGCAAACCATAATTCACAAACCACAGACATTCCCCATAGCCAGATTGCATCATTGTTTGGGTGCTTGACCCTCCACGCCAAGAATAATCCAAGAACAACCATCCGAACCAGAACTAGTAGCCTGTGACGAAAGACAACAGTAGCAGCNCCATAATTCACAAACCACAGACATTCCCCATAGCCAGATTGCATCATTGTTTGGGTGATTGACCCTCCACGCCAAGAATAATCCAAGAACAACCATCCGAACCAGAACTAGTAGCCTGTGAGGAAAGACAACAGTAGCAGAAAGAATTTATCAGGATGCATTAAATAAACAGAACATGTGAAAGGGTTCAGTTGACATAGGATTAATAAAAGCTATGAAAAAGATGAAGGAATTTCTTTCTTTTTATTTGATGTTTGAAAAAGAAGGAAATGTTGCTAAACAATAACATCATAAATATAGTGGACTGCATTAACATCTTGATCTGGAAAAAAATGCTCGTAATTCTATGTTTTCCTAGGCAATATTTGTAATTGAACAAAAAGGTGTCCATATCTTTTATGATAAGTTCCACTGTTATACTAAAATTAAATAGCTTTAGTCTCTGAGAAAATAATAAAAATTGTCACCCAATAAGCACTTTCTTGCAGCCCTAAAATTAAGGCCACAATCTTGGAGTCCGTAACCTAATGCGCAGCATCTGAAAAATTGAGGTCCGGTGCAGATGCCAAAAAGGAACAAGTACAAAGGCTGGAATATCTTGCATATGGCTTGTGAATCAAGCTCTCGCAATTGGTGATAATAACCTCATGTATTCTAATTTCAACGAGACCCCAAGAAGTAAATGACTCAGACATCAATTTATGTTGGACTGCATTAAGATGAAGTTGTCTGCCCTTCATCAAAACCTGTGGTGAGGCAAGATGTATGGACCCAATGCTTCTTTGCATCAGCATTACTAAGTCCACAAGCACAGCATGACTGAAAGATACTTATTTAAAGCATATGACCAACATAGAAATTTACTTGATCATTTCAAGCTATTCTATCCCTCTTAGTTGTTTGTCTTCATTTATGCTTCGACTTATGTGTTTCTATGAATTTACCTGGTCAGCAACTTCAAATCATGAAACACAGAATTTGAAATCAAAATGTAACAATGTGGTAAGTTGAAGGTCTTTTAAAAGAAAAAAAATATTCACCTACATATCAATATAACAACCTAGAATCAAAGGGGAGCATATGAAAAATAAAAAATCAGAAAAGAGAGTAAGTACCTATATGGGCTGAGAATAGCAGCTGGAATCTTTAATTTGCGAGTGAGAGGCCTCCATGGTCTGTTCATTAATTCTGAAGGCTCAACGATCTCATCATCTTTCCCATTACCAAATCCTCCTTCCTTTGGCCATATAGCATTCCCGTAGCCATAGGTACCCCTTGTTTCAAACAGCCAGCGGCTTTGATCGAAATCTCCAGTCTGGCTCCTCATGAGCATCGACTTCCTTGATCTCATCAACGACATCCTCCTCTCCATTTTAGACAACCCAGCAGGTGGTGGTAGTGTAAGTGGCCGCACATTTTCCACCACTTCATCCAAATCAGTGGGTTTATATGATTCTTTACACCCCGGGCAAATTCCATCTCCAGTTTTAATAGCATCCAGATAACAATCCCTACAGACCTTGAAATCACATTCGCAAGGAAGGATATCCGCTCCCCGTTCATCGCTCATCACCTTAGCGTCACACCCAGGAATGGCACAGGAAGATCCTTTTGCACCAGCCATTTGGGGATGATGTGCCTCTGATTCAATCACCTTGTCCATGAGATGAGCACGTGTAACAGTATTAAATCCACCTGTAAAAAGTGAATTTGATACATATTGTTCTTCAACCTTCTGGGAGATTGAATGATCCATTGGCTGGTTGTCAGGGGTGGGTGGCATATGGACTGTGTAGTTCATAAAATCGCCGCTCCCAAGTTCGCTATCAAGATCATCCCTTGAATAGCTGATATATCGACCTGACGAAGTTCTCCTGCCAAAGGTCACGGTAGGTGGCAGGGGAGGCTTGTTAAATTGTGAATCCGGTGCATCTGAGGTTGTTGATAGAGATAACCTGCTCGCCCTGAATGATTTCGATGACATATTGGAGTACTGCTAGAGATTTATAACCAGATCCTGAAATTTACATAAAGCAATAAAATTCAATCTCTATCGTTGGTACATCACAATCATCACAAGTTTTATACAGCACCCCTAAATTATGAAATAAGAAAATGACATCAAACAGCCAATAACTTAAGACAAAGGAAGTCAAAAAACAGCCACAACAAGCAGAAATGCATAAAGAGTTTCAAATCAGGTCAATCCTTATGCGAAGGAAAAAAGGCAAACTAGCTTATTAGGGAAAATGAGATGTACTCAAAAGATGGTCTTTAAACCCCTTAAGCGTCTTCAATCAACAGAAGCCTCTATCAACATCAATGTCCATGTAGATATCTTTAAAACAGAAATGTCAATTAGTTGTTGTTGTTGTAGAAATGTTTAAACAAATTCAATTTTAAGTCAAACTTCAACATAAAAATCAAAAGAAGTTGTCCATCTCTAAGTTTGAACACACGCAAACCTTTTCAACATTGTTAAACAGTAAACACATTCACCACCAGATCTTCAATTGTACAAGTTCAACCAAGATGTGTAGACTGAAAAGCTAGGTTACTGTTCCACAGCCATTGAAGCAAGTTCAAATCAGGTAAATCTTTTCAACGTAGATTAAAACATATATTGAAATATGTACCTAACAATGAGCGAATATAGATCGAACCATTCCCGAGTAAGATCAATCAGACACAATAAAACCAGCAGGGTGGTTCATGATAGCTTATTATCTACTACCTCTTTAGTCTTTCTAGATGCCCAGATCTCTCTTCGCCGGATCTAAACTGGAAGTTTCAAAGTCTGCAGAGTGTTATGCAACGATCTCAGTGTAAACACAAGAGAGAGAGAGAGAGAGAGAGCTCTTAAAGCTTTGAAACACCATGAGAGAAAGCTGTACATACATCTATATATATAAANAGAGAGAGAGAGAGAGAGAGAGAGAGCTCTTAAAGCTTTGAAACACCATGAGAGAAAGCTGTACATACATCTATATATATAAACATATGTGCATATATGAACTACTAGTTCAATAAAAAAATTTAAAAATCAGAGGTTTGTTGAATGGTGAGGAACATTGGAATAATACCTAACTCTCCTTCTATGTAATTGCCTCCAGACAACAATGAGGAGCATCATCGACCACCGGGTCTTCACTATCGGAGCTTCTCTTTCAATTTCAGCCTCTCTGTACTTTGAAAAGTTCTCCTCGCATGTAGTGACTGACTTTAATGGAGGTTTTTTTCACTTACTCACACACCACCGTCTTTCGGACAAAGGATTAGACTTTTGGGTGGTTTTTTTTTTTTTAAATTATTAGTATTATTTTATTTTTACCAGAGTGGAGTAATGAAGCAGAGGAGGGTAATGTTGGTATTTCGCTATAACCTTTTGGGTGTGGGGTTGGGGAACTCACGACACGTGGTAAGATGGTGTATTGTGATGAGTGAGTTGTAATTTGCGCGTACTCGCCATCGAGAAAAAATTATCTGCAGCCAGCAAGAATNAAACCGTTTTCCCATCTCTCTCTCTCTCTCGGACACGCACACACACACACACTGCAATGAAACCTTTATCGTCACAAAGAAACCACAAAAACCATCGCTCCACCCACCCTTGATGAAACCATTGTCGTCATGTCTAATCATCCACGAAAAACCCATAACCCAATCCATGCTGATTGCGAATTTGTGCACCAAAAAATATAATTCTCGTGTAGATCTATGCACATACATTGATGTGGGTTGTGTGTTATGGATGTTGGTGTTGGGTTATGTGTTTTTGTGATGCTGGGTTGTGTGCAATTGAAAGTGGAGTAGGAGGTGGTTGTGGTGCTCGAAGGAAGTGAAGGTGGAGGTGGACAGGGCCGGCCCTGTAGTGTAAAAATAAAAACATGGACTTTAGGGCCCACATATGCAAAAACCACCAAATTTGAAGATCAATAATATAATATAAGTTAAAAATAAAATTTACTACAATATAGTCTAACAAAATAATTTTTAAAAGAGTAAATCAATAAAAAAATTAAAAATTTGAGCCTAAAAGTCCAGACCACCTCACACAATCACATTTATTAGAGAATAAAAAAAGATTAACAAAAAAAAAAGTGATGATAAAATTCATCTCTTTCTTCAATTGAAAGAAGTATAATAAATATCTCTCATTAGTCAAAAAAAAAATCAAATCAAATACATTTTCTATTTCTCTTAAACTTGTTTTTTTTTTTCATTTGAACGCAAAACACAATTAAACCTTTTATTCTCATTAATTTTTTTTTTAATAGAGTTTTTCATCGTAAACAAATGAAATATAATTAAAATTTAGGTGAAAGTTACATAGATAAATAANCACGCACACACACACACACTGCAATGAAACCTTTATCGTCACAAAGAAACCACAAAAACCATCGCTCCACCCACCCTTGATGAAACCATTGTCGTCATGTCTAATCATCCACGAAAAACCCATAACCCAATCCATGCTGATTGCGAATTTGTGCACCAAAAAATATAATTCTCGTGTAGATCTATGCACATACATTGATGTGGGTTGTGTGTTATGGATGTTGGTGTTGGGTTATGTGTTTTTGTGATGCTGGGTTGTGTGCAATTGAAAGTGGAGTAGGAGGTGGTTGTGGTGCTCGAAGGAAGTGAAGGTGGAGGTGGTTTTAGGAGGAAGTGGACAGGGCCGGCCTTGTAGTGTAAAAATAAAAACATGGACTTTAGGCCCCACATATGCAAAAACCACCAAATTTGAAGATCAATAATATAATATAAGTTAAAAATAAAATTTACTACAATATAGTCTAACAAAATAATTTTTAAAAGAGTAAATCAATAAAAAAATTAAAAATTTGAGCCTAAAAGTCCAGACCACCTCACACAATCACATTTATTAGAGAATAAAAAAATATTAACAAAAAAAAAAAGTGATGATAAAATTCATCTCTTTCTTCAATCGAAAGAAGTATAATAAATATCTCTCATTAGTCAAAAAAAAAAATCAAATCAAACATATTCTCTACTTCTCTTAAACTTGTTTTTTTTTTCATTTGAACACAAAACACAAATTAAACCTTTTATTCTCATTAAATTTTTTTTAATAGAGTTTTTCATCGTAACAAATGAAATATAATTGAAATTTAGGTGAAAGTTACATAGATAAATAAGTAAAATTTAAAAATAGAAAAATAATCTAAAAGAAAGATAACAATGAATTTATTTATAATAAAGTCGATCATCTAATACCACAGTTTTGATAAAGAACATATAAAACAAATAAAAAAGAATTTNAAAAAAAAAAAAAAACAGAGGCTATGGATGATCCTTTGTTAAAGCCGTAATTGAATATATGGGAGATGATGTATTTCTATTAAAATTTAGATCTCACTAATCGTATAAATATATAATTCACATTGATTTAAATTTAAAATTTGACAATAAATTTAATAGATGCAGAATTCAATTTCATATAGTTAGACTAAATGGATTATCACTTAATCAAAGAAGTTAGTTTAATACTTCATGCTTAGATTTGAATGTATAATTTATTTCTTTAGTATCAATACGAGTTTGATTAAGGTTGAATATTCAAAACAACAAAGTTTAAAGTTATGATATTTGAGTTAATAAAACTTTGAAATAAGGGTAGTTTAATTAATCAGATAATTTTGATTGGTCTTTGGCTTCTGCCGTTGCTGTTGTTGGGTTGGATGCATGTATTAGCCGGTTGTACAAGTAGCGGTGTACAGAGAAGCAGCTTCATAAATTTTGAAGTTATTTGAACGTTGGATTCATGATGACAACACTACCCTTGAGGTTCACATTTAATTGCAGAATGGCCAGGAAGGAAAGATACATAATAATAATAATAATAATAATAATAATAAAGGCGGAATTAGCGGAGAGAATGAATGACTGCTAAGCCTGTCTGTCTCTTATGGGCTGCTTTTCAATCAACGTGGCTGTTCGGCTCCTTCTTCCCATTTATTTTCTTGGGGTAATTACAATTTATCCCCTCCAAGTTTCGATAGTGTTTGTAATTTACTCCTTCTGATTTCAAACTCAACAAATCAACCCTCAAAGTTTAAATATTTCTCAATTAACTCATCCTGTTAATTGAGAAATGATAGATTATTTCCCTTCATATATGAAAACTCTCCCATCCTCCATCCTAACCTATGCCCGTCAGCCCCTTCCCCCCTCCCTCCCCCTTGGCGTTGATTCCCTTCCCCTTCTGGCAAAATCCTTATTCTTCATCTGGTCAAAATCCCTTTTTATTCTAATGGAAATCAATTTTCCCTCTAAAATCCTCTGGTGAAACCGTTTTCCCATCTCTCTCTCTCTCTCGGACACACACACACACACACTGCAATGAAACCTTTATCGTCACAAAGAAACCACAAAAACCATCGCTCCACCCACCCTTGATGAAACCATTGTCGTCATGTCTAATCATCCACGAAAAACCCATAACCCAATCCATGCTGATTGCGAATTTGTGCACCTAAAAATAAAATTCTCGTGTAGATCTATGCACATACATTGATGTGGGTTGTGTGTTATGGATGTTGATGTTGGGTTATGTGTTTTTGTGATGCTGGGTTGTGTGCAATTGAAAGTGGAGTAGGAGGTGGTTGTGGTGCTCGAAGGAAGTGAAGGTGGAGGTGGACAGGGCCGGCCCTGTAGTGTAAAAATAAAAACATGGACTTTAGGGCCCACATATGCAAAAACCACCAAATTTGAAAATCAATAATATAATATAAGTTAAAAATAAAATTTACTACAATATAGTCTAACAAAATAATTTTTAAAAGAGTAAATCAATAAAAAAATTAAAAATTTGAGCCTAAAAGTCCAGACCACCTCACACAATCACATTTATTAGAGAATAAAAAAAGATTAACAAAAAAAAAAGTGATGATAAAATTCATCTCTTTCTTCAATTGAAAGAAGTATAATAAATATCTCTCATTAGTCAAAAAAAAAATCAAATCAAATACATTTTCTATTTCTCTTAAACTTGTTTTTTTTTTTCATTTGAACGCAAAACACAATTAAACCTTTTATTCTCATTAATTTTTTTTTTAATAGAGTTTTTCATCGTAAACAAATGAAATATAATTGAAATTTAGGTGAAAGTTACATAGATAAATAAGTAAAATTCAAAAATAGAAAAATAATCTAAAAGAAAGATAACAATGAATTTATTTATAATAAAGTCAATCATCTAATACCACAATTTTGATAAAGAACATATAAAACAAATAAAAAAGAATATAAAAATATTAATGAAGAAATTAATTTTATTCCTATAAATATTTATGATCAAAAGGCATATTATTAATCAAAAAAATATATTAGTAAAATTTGAATAAAAAAAATAATTATCAATTTTGAATCTCATAAAAAATTAAAAAATNATATAGTTAGACTAAATGGATTATCACTTAATCAAAGAAGTTAGTTTAATACTTCATGTTTAGATTTGAATGTATAATTTATTTCTTTAGTATCAATACGAGTTTGATTAAGGTTGAATATTCAAAACAACAAAGTTTAAAGTTATGATATTTGAGTTAATAAAACTTTGAAATAAGGGTAGTTTAATTAATCAGATAATTTTGATTGGTCTTTGGCTTCTGCCGTTGCTTGCTGTTGTTGGTTGGATGCATGTATTAGCTGGTTGTACAAGTAGCGGTGTACAGAGAAGCAGCTTCATAAATTTTGAAGTTATTTGAACGTTGGATTCATGATGACAACACTACCCTTGAGGTTCACATTTAATTGCAGAATGGCCAGGAAGGAAAGATACATAATAATAATAATAATAAAGGCGGAATTAGCGGAGAGAATGAATGACTGCTAAGCCTGTCTGTCTCTTTNTGTTTTTTTTTTTCATTTGAACGCAAAACACAATTAAACCTTTTATTCTCATTAATTTTTTTTTTAATAGAGTTTTTCATCGTAAACAAATGAAATATAATTAAAATTTAGGTGAAAGTTACATAGATAAATAAGTAAAATTCAAAAATAGAAAAATAATCTAAAAGAAAGATAACAATGAATTTATTTATAATAAAGTCAATCATCTAATACCACAATTTTGATAAAGAACATATAAAACAAATAAAAAAGAATATAAAAATATTAATGAAGAAATNCGGTTGTACAAGTAGCGGTGTACAGAGAAGCAGCTTCATAAATTTTGAAGTTATTTGAACGTTGGATTCATGATGACAACACTACCCTTGAGGTTCACATTTAATTGCAGAATGGCCAGGAAGGAAAGATACATAATAATAATAATAATAATAATAATAATAAAGGCGGAATTAGCGGAGAGAATGAATGACTGCTAAGCCTGTCTGTCTCTTATGGGCTGCTTTTCAATCAACGTGGCTGTTCGGCTCCNAAAATTTAGGTGAAAGTTACATAGATAAATAAGTAAAATTCAAAAATAGAAAAATAATCTAAAAGAAAGATAACAATGAATTTATTTATAATAAAGTCAATCATCTAATACCACAATTTTGATAAAGAACATATAAAACAAATAAAAAAGAATATAAAAATATTAATGAAGAAATTAATTTTATTCCTATAAATATTTATGATCAAAAGGCATATTATTAATCAAAAAAATCTATTAGTAAAATTTGAATAAAAAAAATAATTATCAATTTTGAATCTCATAAAAAATTAAAAAAANTCCCTTCATATATGAAAACTCTCCCATCCTCCATCCTAACCTATGCCCGTCAGCCCCTTCCCCCCTCCCTCCCCCTTGGCGTTGATTCCCTTCCCCTTCTGGCAAAATCCTTATTCTTCATCTGGTCAAAATCCCTTTTTATTCTAATGGAAATCAATTTTCCCTCTAAAATCCTCTGGTGAAACCGTTTTCCCATCTCTCTCTCTCTCTCGGACACGCACACACACACACACTGCAATGAAACCTTTATCGTCACAAAGAAACCACAAAAACCATCGCTCCACCCACCCTTGATGAAACCATTGTCGTCATGTCTAATCATCCACGAAAAACCCATAACCCAATCCATGCTGATTGCGAATTTGTGCACCAAAAAATATAATTCTCGTGTAGATCTATGCACATACATTGATGTGGGTTGTGTGTTATGGATGTTGGTGTTGGGTTATGTGTTTTTGTGATGCTGGGTTGTGTGCAATTGAAAGTGGAGTAGGAGGTGGTTGTGGTGCTCGAAGGAAGTGAAGGTGGAGGTGGTTTTAGGAGGAAGTGGACAGGGCCGGCCTTGTAGTGTAAAAATAAAAACATGGACTTTAGGCCCCACATATGCAAAAACCACCAAATTTGAAGNAAACCTTTATCGTCACAAAGAAACCACAAAAACCATCGCTCCACCCACCCTTGATGAAACCATTGTCGTCATGTCTAATCATCCACGAAAAACCCATAACCCAATCCATGCTGATTGCGAATTTGTGCACCTAAAAATAAAATTCTCGTGTAGATCTATGCACATACATTGATTTGGGTTGTGTGTTATGGATGTTGATGTTGGGTTATGTGTTTTTGTGATGCTGGGTTGTGTGCAATTGAAAGTGGAGTAGGAGGTGGTTGTGGTGCTCGAAGGAAGTGAAGGTGGAGGTGGACAGGGCCGGCCCTGTAGTGTAAAAATAAAAACATGGACTTTAGGGCCCACATATGCAAAAACCACCAAATTTGAAAATCAATAATATAATATAAGTTAAAAATAAAATTTACTACAATATAGTCTAACAAAATAATTTTTAAAAGAGTAAATCAATAAAAAAATTAAAAATTTGAGCCTAAAAGTCCAGACCACCTCACACAATCACATTTATTAGAGAATAAAAAAAGATTAACAAAAAAAAAAGTGATGATAAAATTCATCTCTTTCTTCAATTGAAAGAAGTATAATAAATATCTCTCATTAGTCAAAAAAAAAATCAAATCAAATACATTTTCTATTTCTCTTAAACTTGTTTTTTTTTTTCATTTGAACGCAAAACACAATTAAACCTTTTATTCTCATTAATTTTTTTTTTAATAGAGTTTTTCATCGTAAACAAATGAAATATAATTAAAATTTAGGTGAAAGTTACATAGATAAATAAGTAAAATTCAAAAATAGAAAAATAATCTAAAAGAAAGATAACAATGAATTTATTTATAATAAAGTCAATCATCTAATACCACAATTTTGATAAAGAACATATAAAACAAATAAAAAAGAATATAAAAATATTAATGAAGAAATTAATTTTATTCCTATAAATATTTATGATCAAAAGGCATATTATTAATCAAAAAAATCTATTAGTAAAATTTGAATAAAAAAAATAATTATCAATTTTGAATCTCATAAAAAATTAAAAAAATTAAATTATTATTAATAAAATAAAGAAAATCTCATTGACCGTTATTATTTTAAACCTCAAATATTGTTAAGCTAACTCGTGAAGTGGAGTAAGAGGCGGTTGTGGTACTCGATGGACGTGCAATAGAGGTGCTGATTTGTTTTTCTTTGTTTCGAATCTTATTCTGGTGCGGAGGTGAGGGGGTTGCCGGACTTGGGTTTTTGGAGTTAATTGAAAAATAATCAAACTTTGAGGGGGTGATTTGTTGAAATTAAAAATAATAGGAGTTAATTGTAACACGGCCTAAACTTAGAAGGGACAATTTATAATTAACCCTTTTTTCTTTATTACCGTTGACCAGAAACCTATTTTTCATCCCTAAAGATAAAAGTCAGTTGGTAAAGAATTCAAATGATTCATTTATTCCTACTAACTTAATCTTTATAATTAGAATTCCTACCAACTGTCATAAATAATTTGGATCTTAACCAGACAAAAGAAGATGCTGTAATCTATTAATTGACTGAATGCACGTCACGTGACACAACACAAGGCAACGTCTCATGTTTAGCACGTTAGCTGCTACCCAGATCGTGAGATGGGACGCGTATTCCTCGGATGAGATTATCAGAGTGGGAATTAAAAATCATCGCCACGCTGTCTACCAACTCCTATCACGTCCCATCCTATGTATGCATCTATGTTTCACCTGTGTATTTATTCTAAAGAATAGTATTAGTGACTAATTTTGTTATTAGAGACAAAATTATATTTTAATTAATCGGTAACGTTTTCAGGATATATACCCTCATTTTTTAAAAAAATTACATTAATTAGGAGTAACCTATGCCTTTAACGTAAGTGAAAAATAATAGATTTGGAAGAATGAACATTCAACGTAAATAATTTTAAGAGAAATGTTATTGACTGTTGAATGAATCCATTTAAAACTATCGAATAAAACATGCCTTATTTTATATAACACCAAGAGCATCTCCAACTCACTCTCTATTTCTTCTATTTTAGCTAATCAAATACAAAAAATTCTCTTCAACCCATTCTTTATTTTCTAGTTAACCCAAATGGCTCACCAAATGTGGTGAGCCATTTGAACTCTCTAAATTCTCTCTATACTTTTTTTTGTTCTCTATCTCTCTCTCTATATATGTTTTCCTTCTTTTAAATTAGTGAAAGTTAGGTACAGTAGTTAACTAAAATAGAGTGTGATTGGAGTGAATTTATAAAAATGGATAGCTAAAGTAATGAATGTAATATTTAAATATATTTTGACTAACTATTTTAAAAAGGAGGGCTAGAGATGTTCTAATATACCCTCGTTGTCTCCAAATGTCAATAGAGGAGAATGTCTCATTTTAGGGACCCCCAACTTACCCATCATATAGAAAGAAACTGATCAGTCCATTGAGATTCACTTCCAAGCACACACAAACACACAGAAGCATCAACGCCAACCAGAGAGGAGAGTCAAATATGACCAGACTTGCTCTGGACCAACACCACACCCCCTCTCTGACATTCCCACCACCACGACGCCCACTCTCTCAGACACAAAACTCCAGCTGTTCCCACTTATCCAACCTACAGATCAACAGTCACCATCTCCCCAGTTCAAATCACGCTGTCCGCACCATTTAGACTATCCAACCTTTTTAGAGATCATTGTTATTGTTCTAGCTTTACTTATTTGCACAACCGGATAAATTCGACTACAATTTGCAGTTCAAAAGATTGAATTGGAAATCGAAAGAGCTGCATAATGATAACTAAGTGCATGCCAACTTTTACTTGGGATTTGTAATGTAAAAAAGTTTTCAAACTCATTCCAGAAGTATCCATATGAAGTATCTTATCAACAGCTTGAACTGGTCGTTTAGCTAATCTCCCTCTCACAGAAAAAATATTTTAACCATCCAATGCAGTTTTCTAGACGTGTGAAAGAATTGTATTACTTGAAGACCTGATGTGAAACAGGAGCATCTTTTACATTAGACATTATCAACATAGGTATCCCTAGAAAAGAATGGGAAGCAATTGCCTGTTCTAACCTTATCTCATGTAATTGCAGATATTCTCCATTCATTCCAAACACAAACACAATACTGAGCAAAAACAGAAAAACAACTCACAATCAACAATCAAGACAACAGAGCTGGGCTTGTGAAGTTGGCACGCTTGCAGTCACAAGTGCACAGGTTTCTAGATTCTTTCACTACACGTTGCGACCTTCGGGTATGAAGCTTGATGTTCACCAACTTACCTGCTAACTGTTAACACAACCAAAGATCAAAAAGAAATCAAATTTGTCAGATAATTATTTAGTTTTGATTGCTCCTCTTAAACTAAAAATCACAAAGGCAGGCAATAAATCACATTCCTAAAAATCTCAAAGTGCTTTTCACCATGGCACTTTTCCATGGAGTTTGCTCGTCTAGTAATATTAAACATATAAGTATGAAACCAAGTACTTCGTTTTCAAAGCTTAGCTATCATAAGAACTTCAAGAAAATTATCCCTCAGGCAAGATACTAAAAGGCAGGCTAAACAGTCCACTTCTTGATCCTTCGTTCTCATCTTCAACAACAATTAAAATCACAAACAAAAAGCCAAATGTACTCTAAATAGGATGAATGAGTAACAAACCATTCTCCAAATCAAGTCTTCTGGACCCATAGGTTGAGCTGGATGGGAATATAGGAAATGCCTTGACAACTGTAAGCAAAAGATGTTGATAAAGTAAGGAACAAAATGTCATATATGTATTTAATTTCATAAAGAAAGAAAACCTCCATAGAAGTTCTCAACATCTCTAATTGGTTAAAGTAAGAAGCTTGGAGATCAAATATTCCAACCAACTGATTGGATTGCATCATGTTATTAAAGGGTTGTTTCCTTTTGTTTTGTTGAGATGTAATGATTTTGATGTATTTTCCCTTATTGTGTCCTTTATAGGATGGATCTCTCATCCACTTCTTTTGTAATTCGTTTTTTTTTTACAATTACTGAAATTTTCGTTTCCTGTCCAAAAAATAAAAAATCCAACCAATTAACCTAATGAACAAAAGAAGTACTACCACAAGTATCCAGAACTTATTTGCAGAATCAGACCTTAGCTAAGTTCATTTGCATTGCCCTGATTTGAGCAGGACTAACACTTCTGAGGAACTTTAAAAGTGATCCCGGCTGCACAGCATCGCTCGAAGAAACAAACAAAGCTATCTGGAATAAATTGACAAATGTTAAAGCCTCAGCAACCCAATACCAACTGTTTTTTATTGGCCAAGTGGAAGTTCTAGAAGAACAAAAGCTCTAGAAGATCACATGGCAGGGGAAATTCCTAGTACACATGCATACAAAGAAGTGCCAAAGGCTCAACAGAATCGAAGAAATCACCCAAAAACTTTTCAAAGGTTGATTGTACTTGGATATCACACCTTATTGCAAATAGAAGTTAAAAATTGTACTCAATGATATGTACTTCAGCTCATCACCCCAATACCAACTGTTCAAGGAAAGGAAACCAACACAAAGACAAAGATGAGATAGTTTGCAATTCAGATGATGCAATCACATTGTTTTACAAGCTATGCCTGCTGTGGCCAAACTGTTAACATAATTGATTAACAAACATATAGAGAAGGAATCAACTCACAAATTTTCAAATTCTTGATGTGAACTAGCAGATTCGTCAAAGTTGCCAAAGGGGGTAGACAATAATATATAATTCATTCCATATAACTGAAAGGATTTGCAGCTGATAATGCAATTTAAACCGTGAATCTTAAACAATAAAACAAGACATAATATCCTCCTCCTTTCGGAAGGTGCTCATCAGTTTAGCTTAATACACGGTTTGCCACACAAGCAACTAACTTCCTTCTTCTACAGTTCTGCCTCTGTATGTCACATGAATTATGAATGTGTGTGCAAGTACATTTGTACGATCCTGAATCAAGATTTAAATTTAATTTATGAGCAGAATATCAATGCAACTCCTCTTATCTAAAACCGTGTACAACTTAAAAATACAAGTTACAAAACTCGACTTATTGCCCCTTGACAATCATCCTTCACTTCTACTCCTCTTTTCACCCCATCACCTTATGTTGGTGCTTTTAGGAGATACATCATAAGAAGAAACTAGCACCAAAAACTTAAAAGCGCATACCTTCCGATAATCAAGTATCCCTTCAAATGGAAGCTCTAGTTCATCACTAATAATAATAGGAATACACCCACTGACAATAGCGTCAAACAATCTAGCAGATGATGGAGTGTCACCAGCTGGACATGGGCAATAAATAGACCTGAAAACCAAAGAAGCAACTCATTCCACTTAAAAAGTACAAGAAGAAAGGTACAAAGTGAACATTGTAAATTATGCAACTTGAAATTTACTTGCGCATGCCACTCTGAGCTGCTGCTTTTCCTGCCTCTCCAGCACTCCCCTCGTCTATAACTACACCACCAACACCATTAAGTTCTAACACAAGTTTAGCACGTATCTTTCCTCCCTGAAATTAGAGCACATTAAATTATTTTGCACCTAGTGATGCACACAGTTAGCACAAGCCAATCCAAAATGTCAGCCAAAGAAGTAATATTATGAGTTAGGAAAGAGGATGGAAGAAATCAAATCCTGATGGCCTACCAAGGAGTAATGTCATAGGCCTGAAGGACGTGATAATCAGAAACACTTAATAAAAGTCAACACAATAGCTTAAACCGAACTACCATGGGTTAGAGATGTGGGTTTGTCCAGTCTGCCCAGTGTAAACATAGATCTAAGTATATGTCCTAATAACATGGTTTTCTATCAAAATATACTCACAAGTCACAATAGCTCTTCACATCACAATTATTTTCTTTCACATTCTTCTTATTTTTACTATCTCATCCAAGGATTGTCCAAAGACGTTTTAAGGTCAGCTATCCTCTGATTTTGTGACCAAGCTGCATTGTAATGTCCAAACATTACAACCACTACCATAATTTGACACCGCAAGTGATGATATTAAACACATTTACTGTTAGCAGCAAATAACCAACACATAACAGATATTCAACCCAAATGAAAACACAAATCATAAATGACTGCAAAAAGTCAGGTAAAATCCTTGACCCAATCAGCACAGATATCTCAATCTGGCTAAGTCACTTTGTTCTGAAAGAAACAATTGTTTGACACTTTACAACATCATTTACTTTCTGCAAATTATGACAATTGTCATCAGATCCCATCTGGATATGTCTTCCACAATATATGCTTTAACAATGAAATAGGAGTCTTAAGTATTAAACCATGTGAAAAAAAAAAGAAAAAGAAAGAAAGTATGCAGTCCCGTTCATGATGGTTTTAATCATTGAACTACATGTTATCATTGCTCCCTCCCGGGGCTCCACCACGAGAGCTCACTGGTTTTCGTATCAGGGACTCTTCTTTGCCTAAGCGAGGCGATTCATCAGGCTCAACAGCAATAGGTATCATTGCAGGTTCTGGCTCCCGGGGAATCCCTGAAGATTTAATCATTTCTTCGTAGTTGGATAGGACTTTCTGAATTTCATCATTCACATTTAAGGCTTCAAAGAGCAAGGCCTCATTATCCCCAGCAGTCTCGATGATTCTCTGTACAGTAAATTTGAACTGGTGACACTGCTGTACAAGTGTGGCTGTCAAGTCATCCTACCAAAACAATTCGAAAGTGTTTAGAAATATGGAGGAAATATTGACTTGAATATCACAATCTGACCAGTAGCAATACCACTAGCTAGAAAACTCCAAATTTTGAACAGGGAAAAAATTATCAAACTTCTGCACTAATGTATAGCATGGGCTCCAAAATGACTTAGTACAGATGTACAAAATGAAATACCAACAGTAAGCAATAGCCTATGGTCAATTAAGTTAGCCACCAGTCTGGCACTTTCAGGGTTTCAAAAAAAACCATGTGTTATACAGAATGGATCACTGAATGAATTTTTTCACAAATGCAACCAACAACTATAGCTCTCTATGCTGGAAGCACTAAATTCTTTCTCAGGTAAATTCCTGACGAACACATCTGAGAATCCAACTAAAAAAATCTCAAAAAAACGAGTCTATTTTTTTTTTGGCATGGGTGTTTAGCGACATTGGAAAACTAATATACCTGTAAACAATGATCACAATGGACCCAAAATGCATGTCGGTCGTCACACTGCTACATCCATACCTATATGCAGCCACCTCTTCCAAGATGAGTGGGTTATCATCAGTAGCATGATGAAGTTGCCCAGAAAGTGGACCATGTCAAATAATTCTTTTAATGGCATGGTTACTCCATTTCTACGCCGAAGCCAAGAGGGCAAACTACAAACAGTTTTGCCACTAAATATGAGGTTCAAGTGCTTTGTGTTGACCAGCTACAACTAGGGATAGATATAGCACAATTTATTCCCAACCCTCCATTTTCATCTTTCACAACCAAAAATATGCAAAATCGGACAATATATTATTAGACGACGGTTTTTTGAAGCTGTTGCAGACAAAGAAAAGAGTATTAATCAGTTTACATCCATCTCCATCCCCAAATCATTTGCCAATCAACTTATAGATCTCCTTCATCCACAAGCATGACAGTGGCATTCTTATACGAGTAAATACTATCTTAACAAAAGGGAGTGAAGAACATGGCCGTAATTGGAAACCATAGAAACAATCTTGAAGAATAACTCTTACAGCTCCACTGACATAAACAAAATCCCAAACTACAAAGCTTCAAGGAAATATCATACAATAACGACAAAAAATCCTTTTGTTATACAAGATAAGAGTTATAAAAATTCCACTTAAAAACCCATAATCTCCCAGCTTGGAAGAAATAAATCCTCAGCCATTTTTCCCTTCAGAGCCAAAAGCACTTGACCTCAGTTTCAAAGTTTACATTCTATTTGAATTCATGGCTGCAACCACCGCTGGCTTCACAAAGAAACGTTAAATATAGTCTTCACACTAAACCAATATTACCCTTTTGTGGTATGTATGCAACGTCATACATACCACAGTTGTTACACGACATTGACTAAAACGAAGAAAGTAAATGTGTTTTAGTTGAGGTAGATAACTAGGCCCATTAGACTATCAGAATGTTAACTTAGGTAAAAACAAGAACACTAGGAAAGGTCGGTGCCTTATAATTAGCCATGCTAATCATGGGGATGCAAGAACTCTAAAAGATGATGGTATTGTGCGATTTTGCACCGACCTAAGCCCTAACCCCAAATGCCCTAAGCCCGTAAGCCCTATGCCCCCTAAGCCCTAAAACCCTATTTGAATTCTATTAGTATCTTCTAATGCTACAAACTCCTAATTTTCTTCCATGCATTAACCTTTTACTCCCTCTCCAAGTAATTGAATTTTGTTTCAAACATTTAACAATTTTGATAGAAAAATAATTGAAAAAGAAATAAAACATAATCTATCTACTAGAAAAGCAAACAAAACACATATAATCAAAAAAAAATGCTATGTAATTATTGGTTGTGTAAAACATGAAAATAACAATGAAAAATGAGAAGGAAACTGTGGGTCAATGAGAGCGTAGGGGGTTCAAAATAATAGAACAATGATCACAACAAGTAAAAAACACAAAAAAAGTAGAAATAATCAGCTATAAAACACATTTTACATGTAAAAGAAAGCCAATGGAGCTGGGACAAATACATATACTTATCTTCTCACAACAACACCCGTTTTGCAAACTCATCTCGTTCAACTCTTATTATTCTTTAATAAGCAAACTACATTCCACAAATAACTAAAATAAAAACACATTAGATTAGTTACGCACATAAAAATGAAAGTTTAAATGATAACAAACAACAATAACGGAAAAAAATATGATAACAATGATGAGGAGGTGGAGCAACAGAAGTAAAAGAACAATAAACTCAAATCCCTAACCCCTAATCCCTAATCCCTACTCTCTACTCCCTAAACCTTGAGCTCTAATCCCTAATTCCTAGGCCCTAATCCCTAATCCCAAATCCCTAAGCTCTAACCCTTAACTATTAACCCAAAACCCCAAACGCCCGTAAGCCCTATTTGAATTCTATAGTATATTAGTATCTTTTACAAGCTACAAACTCCTAATATTTCTCAATGATTTAACCATTAGCTCCCTCTCCAAGTAATTAAATTTTGTTTCCGACATTTAACAATTTCAATAGAAAGATAAGAAAAAAGAAAATAAAACATAATTAATCTAATAGAAAAGCAAACAAAACACATATAATCAAAGAAATACTATGTAATTATAGGTTGTGTAAAACACGAAAATAACGAAAAATAAAAAGAAAATAGTGAGATAATGAGAGTACTTGAGATTGAAAATAATAGAAACAATAATCACAACAAGTAAGAAATACAAAAAGAAATAAAAATAATCACGTGTAAACCACATTTTATATGTAAAAGAAAGCCAATCGAATTTGGACAAATAGATATAGTTATCCTTTCACTCCTAAACTCCGCTTTCAAACTTATTTCGTCTATTCCACTAACAACTGAAATCAAAGCACACATTAGATTAGTTACGCACATAAAAATGAAAATCCAAAACATAACAAAATAACAATAAAGGAAAAAAATAGAATAAGAATGATGAAGATGTGGAACAAACGAACCAAAAGAACAATAAACCCTAACCCCTAATCCGTTATCCGTAAACCGTAATCTCTAATCCCTATTCCCAAAGTCATAATCCCTAATCCCTACTCCCTAAGGCTTAATCCCTAATCCTCACTCCCTAAAGCCCAAATCCCTAACCCCCAACTATTAACCCAAAACCCCAAAAGCCCATAAGTTCAATAGCCCCTAAGTCTCAATTCTCCAAAGCCCTAAGCCTTAAACCCTATTTGAATTATATATTCTATTAATATCTTTTACATGTTACAAACTTCTAATTTTCCTCCATGATTTAACCATTTGCCCCCTCTCCAAGTAATTAAATAATGTTTCCTATATTTAACAATTTCAATAGAAAGATGATAAAAAAAGAAATAACACATAATTAATCTAATAAAAAAACAAACAAAACACATATAATCAAAGAAATACCACGCAATTATAAGTTGTGTAAAACACAAAAACAACAACAAAAAATGAAAAAGAAACAGTGAAAAATGAGTGTGTTTGGGATTGAAAATAATATAAACAATTCTCATACCAAGTAAAAAACATAAAAAGAAGTAGAAATAGTAATGTGTAAAACACATTTTACATGTAAAAGAACGTCAATCGAATTTCGACAAATAGATATACTTATCTTTTCACCCCTAAATTCCGCTTTCAAGCTTATCTCATCCATTCCACTAACAACTGAAATCAAAGCACACATTAAATTAGTTACACACATAAAAATAAAAATTCAAAAGATAACAAACAACAATAAAGGAAAAAAATATGATAAGAATGATGAGGAGGTGGAGCAACAGAAGCAAAAGAACAATAAACCCAAATCCCTAACCTCTAACCCGTAATCCCTAATCCCTAATCTCTAATCCCAACTCCCTAACGCCTAACTATTAACCCAAAACCCCAAAAGCCCGCAAGTCCGATAGCCCGTAAGCCCCAAGCCCAACACCCCATTTGAATTCTATATTCTGTTACTATCTTATACATGCTACAAACTCCTAATTTTCCTCAATGATTTAATCATTTGCTCCCTCTCTAAGTAATTAAATTTTACTTCCGAAATTTAACAATTTCAATAGAAAGTTAATAACAAAAGAAATAACACATAATTAAACTAATAGAAAAATAAATAAAACACATATAATCAAAAAAATACTAACACGAAAACAACGACGAAAAATAAAAAAGAAATAGTGGGATAATGAGGGTATTAGAGATTGAAAATAATAGAAACAATGATCATAACAAGTAAGAATTACAAAAAAGAAATAGAAATAGTCATGTGTAAAAAACATTTTACATGTAAAAGAAAACCAATCAAATTTGGACAAATAGATATACTTATCTTTTCACTCCTAAACTCCGCTTTGCAAGCTTATCTCGTTCATTCCTCTAACAACTAAAATCAAAACACACATTAGATTAGTTACGCACATAAAACTGAAAATCTAAAAGATAACAAATAGCAATAAAGAAAAAAAATAGGACAAGAATGATGAGGTGGTGGAGCAAAAGAACAATAAACCCAAATTACCAAACCCTAACCCCTAATCCGTTATCCCAAATCCCTACTCCCTAAGCCCTAATTCCCAACCCCTAACTATAAACCAACAACCCAAAATAAGAAAATAAAACATAATTAATCTAATAGAAAAGCAAACAAAGCATATGTAATCAAAGAAATGCCATGCAATTATAGGTTGCGTAAAACATGAAAACAATAACGAAAAATGAAAAGCAAACAGTGGGATAATGAGAGTGTTGAGAATTGAAAATAATAGAAACAATGATCATAACAAGTATGAAACACAAGAAGATGTAGAAATAGTCATGTGTAAAACATATTTCACATGTAAAAGAAAATCAATCAAATTTGGACAAATAGATATACTTATCTTTTCGCTCCTAAACTCCGCTTTCAAGTTTATCTTGTTCATTCCACTAACAACTGAAATCAAAGTACACATTAGATTAGTTGCGCACATAAAAATGAAAATCCAAAACATAACCAAAATAATAAAAGAAAAAAATAGAATAAGAATGATGAGGAGGTGGAGCAAAAGAAGAAAAAGAACAATAAACCCAAATCCCTAACCCCTTTTTTTTTTTGGAAGAATGCNCAAAAGAACAATAAACCCAAATCGCTAACCCCTTTTTTTTTTTGGAAGAATGCAGAAATATTATTGATAACCCCAAGATTACAAGAAGCAAAAGTATAGCTTGAACAAAAAGAGAAAGGCCAAAGTTGGCTTTAATCCTGCAAAATTAAAAAAGGATAACATTCTTCAAAGTGCAGAGACAGCCCAGATACCACCCAGCAAAATGCAACATCATGAGAACCAAGCAGCATCAGGACAAGCAAAGGCGCAAAGGCCATAAAAAAGATGAGAATCAGCTGAAATTCCAGCTGGAGAACCATTAAAACCAGCTGAAAGTTCAGCTGAAACTNCAAAGGCCATAAAAAGGATGAGAAACAGCTGAAATTCCAGCTGGAGAACCATTAAAACCAGCTGAAACCAGAAGAGACAATCCATAGAGCCCCAGCAGAGAGAAGGTGAGGAGACCAGCTGCAGCTGAACCAGCTTGGGCAAGCAGGCAGGCTCAATAAAGACCTAAATAGCTGCATAAAACCCGCTGGAAATCCAGCTAGAACCCAATTGAAATCCAGCTGAGAGTCCAGCTGAACACCATGAGCAACCGTATGAAAGCAGCTGTTGGAACCAAAACATAACTGTGCCAGCTGAAAAAGAGGAGAGCAGCAGCTGAAAGAGATCCATAACCAGCTGACAGACGCAAATCCATGAGAAGCTGAAACCAGCTGGGAAGGCAGCATGATCACGGCAGAAAAACAGCTGTAGCAGGAGCCAGGCAGTTCACGTGAACGGTTGTGTGAACAGTGCTCAGCTACTGTGGCAGCCTGCAATGAAGGCCAGGCAGCAGACCAAGAACCAGCAGACACCATAAGAAAAGACAGCTGACGGAGACCAGCTGAAAAACCAGGTAAAAGGCCATCAAAACCCAGCTGAAGATAGAAGATAACCGAAGAGTGAGGGCCAGCAGCTGCATTAAACAAGCTGTGCACATGAACAGTGCACGTGAACAGCCCAAAACCAGCAGGGCGCAGGAGACCCCCAGCAACATGAACCAGCCCAAAGCAAAAGGACCCCAGAACCAGCCCAACCAACAGCTATTAACCATGATCATCATTTATCAGAGCACACCCAGTGCGCAGAACAGGCAACTGCTCCTGTCTCCCATTCAAGCGCACGTCAACAGTATCAAGCTGCCTGCAAGTGCTATCAACCAAGATCATTTTTCATCTCAATGTAGACAACGAAGGTTGATCATGATGCAACCTCATCTTCCCAGCTATAGGCAATGAATCAGTACCCAAAAATTCAAAACAGCAAGCTTCANTGATCGTGATGCAACCTCATCTTCCCAGCTATAGGCAGCGAATCAGTACCCAAAAATTCAAAACAGCAGGCTTCGTTGACAGCATAAGAAGCCAGAAAATCTGCAAGACCGTTAGCTTCCCTGAAAATGTGACTAACCTTGATATTAAATCTATGCAAAATTCCACAAATATCATCAATAAACTGTTTACATTTCCAAGGAACCTTGACCTTCCCCAATACCATTCCAACAAGCACTTGTGAATCTGATTCAATAAGAAGTTGATAATTCATTAAATCATGACGCAAAAACATCTTAATACCCTCCAAAAGTGCCTTACACTCTGCCAGCATATTCGAACCCCTGTCATAAAAGGAGGCAGCAGCGACAACAATCTGACCATTCGAATTCCTGACCACCATGCCTCCACCTGACAAACCAGTTGACCCCTTTGCTGCACCATTTACGTTAAGCTTCAAGGTCCCATCTGGAGGGNGCCTGACAAACCAGTTGGCCCCTTTGCTGCAAGCGTCAAGGTCCCATCTGGAGGGGGTTCCCACTTAATCCATAAAGCCTTTGTGATAACAACATGGGCAGCATTAATCTTCAAATCAGCAAGTAACACTTTACCATTACTATCATCACCCTTCTTAGGCTTAATAATAAAAGCCTGAAAACGCAAAGCACTCATAATTTGTAAAAACACAGCATAGAAATTTAACTTCTCTTCCTCAAACCGTCTCCTGCACCTTTCTTTCCAAAGAANATTTGTAAAAACACAGCATAGGAATTTAATTCTCTTCCTCAAACCGTCTCCTGCGCCTTTCTTTCCAAAGAGCCCAGTATAAAAGAAGTGGAACTCCTCTAACTAGAGCGTGACTCAGCGAACAACATTTAAAAATTCTGCTAAGCCTCAAGAACCTAATAATAGAAGACTCCCCCTCAATCAAACCAAAACCCATCATACTTGCAAACCTTCTCCATATTGATTTTGCAAAACTGCACTCAATAAACAAATGAGAAACAGTTTCCTCTTCTTCGCCACAGAGACTGCACCTGCTTACCAAATCAATACCCAAGTCACGGATTCTCGAATCAATGGATAAAGCCCCCCTAAGGGTTTTCCAAGAACATAGCTGTGCACTTGGAAAAATTCTTTGACTCCAGATACATTTAGCAGCCACATTCTGCTCACCCTGCTGCCTGACGTGCCACCATGCATCTTTAACAGAGAAAAGACCAGTACTACTACTCCTCCAAACCCTTCTATCCTCTTGCTCACAGATCACCACTCCAGCTGATATAATCTCAGACTTCAATTGCTCCCCAAGGACAGAAATAACACCATCCAGCTGCCATTGGTTATTCCCCCACATATCAGCTACAGAAGGAAAATCAGTGGGAATCCCCACAGCACTTTGCAATAAGGCCCAGACTCGAGCCATGCATCACACCAAAAATCAGTGTTTCTACCATTCCCTATACTGACCCAGGAATTTTCAACCACAAAATTAAACCAAGGCTTCAAACTTTTAAAAGATTTTGCACCCCTCGATTCCCCACATCTTAACAAGTGCCTCCCCTTAAGAATGTAGATCTGAACATCTTCGCCCAAAGTGAATTACCATTTAGGATATTCCAGACCTGTTTAACTCTGAAAGTTGCTTGAATCTCCTCAAAGCTTCGAATTCCCAACCCACCCTCCTCCTTTGGTTTGGACATCTTATCCAAAGAGACTCAATGTCTCCTTTTAGAGTCCAATTTACTGCACTGTATGAACCCAGCAATTAATGAATTCAACTTCCTCATCACGCCTTTGGGTATATTCATACAAGCCAAAATATGAATGGGAATAGCATTCAACACAGACTGCACCATCACAAGTCAACCCATCCCAGACAGAAGTTTGGCATACCAACCTTCAATTTTCCTTCTAAAATTGTTGATCACCTCCTCAAAGAAACAATTCCTAGATCTTCCCCTAATAATGGAGCAGCCAAGATAAGAAAAGGGGCAGGTCTTCAAAGGAATTCCCACCAAATTGGACAGCACATTCTGTCTAACAATGGGGATTTTTGCTGAACAATACAAAGCACTTTTTGATTTATTTACTCTCTGTCCAGAACTAGATTCATACAAACTTATAAACTTCATCAAGTTCATCACAGATTTCTTCTTACCTCTCAAGAATATTAAGGTATCATCAGGAAAAAGTAGGTGACTCACCAAAAGAGAACCTCTGCCTGTGTGAACATGAGTGACCAAATTCATCTGGTAAAGTCTTCTCAACTCTCTACTCAAAGCCTCTTCAGCAAGAATAAATAAGGAAGGGGATAAAGGATCTCTTTGTCTGAGCCCCCTTGAATNTCTCTACTCAAAGCCTCTTCAGCAAGAATAAATAAGGAAGGGGATAAAGGATCTCTTTGTCTGAGCCCCCTTGAATTAGCAAAATAACCATGCCTTTTTCCATTTAAACACAATGTAAAAAATTGGGTTTTGAGACAGTTAGAGATAATTCTAACAAACATTCCTGAAAAACCAAACTTTTCCAACACCCTCAACAAAAAGTCCCATTCGATCCAATCATATGCCTTCATCATAGCTAATTTAACTACCATATTGCCTCCCTCCACCTTTCTATCCAACTCCTCCACCATTAGTTGCCCCAATGCACCTTCCTTTTACAAAACCATGTTGCTCTTCAGACACCAACACAGGAAGTAAAGAAAAAAGTCTCGTAGTGAGGAGTTTGTAAAAATTTTATAAACAAAATTGCAGAGGCTAATGGGCCGAAAATCCCCAAAGTTAACAGGGTTGTCCTCCTCTGGAATTAGAACAAGAAAAGTAGAGTTAACAGATTTTGGAATTACACCTCCCAAAACAAAGTTCGCAGCAAGCAGTACATCATCTTTGATAATCTTCCAGGATGATTGAAAAAACTTACCCGAAAGCCCATCAGGTCCTGGAGCACTTTCCACAGCCATGGAGAAAACAATCTCTCTGACTTCCTCCATAGAAGCAGCTTCCACCAACCTTTCATTCTTTTGATCACCAACCAGTGAAGGGATTTCAGAAAATATCTCTTCCTGAATAGAATGATTCTTTGACATATACAACTTAGAATAGAATTTTATAGCAACGTCAGCAATCTCATCTTCCCCATGAACCCAAACACTTTCATCATTCTGAATTCTTTTAACTTTATTTCTTACAATTTTACTCTTCGCCATAGCATGATAAAAAGCTGTATTTCTTTCCCCTTCAACAGCCCATCTAATATTCGCTTTTTGCTTCCAGAATATCTCCTCCATTCTAAGCAAATTATCCAATCCTTCCTTCCACCTCTCTAATACTAATGCACCCTCCAAACAATAATTCTGATCCAATTTAGACTCCTCCGGAATCCTTCTTTCATGAACTTTTATATTATCAAATACATTCCCAAAGACTTCTTTGTTCCACAGTTTGAGATGGGCTTTTAAGTACTTGAGCTTGAAGAACAAGTTAGCAACAGGATTCTCAGAAAAATGCCCCCTCCAATTTGTAGCAACCAAATTCAGGAAACCTTCATGTTCACACCACATATCCTGAAAACGAAAATAAGATATTCTTCTCTGAATAGGTTCATCCAAAATCTTAACAAGCAAGGGGCAATGATCTTAATTACCCCTAGCAAGATGGACAACCTCAGTATTCTCAAATCTCAGAGGCCAAGTAGCATTCACCAAAACCCTATCCAACCTCTGTATCATCCTGACTTGCCCCTGGCGATTATCACACCATGTGAACCTACTACCAGAAAAACCATGATCCAACAACCCTCCTTGATCAAGAAATTGGCCAAACTCCTCCATAGCTGTAATAGAAGGAAAGGCCCCTCCTCTTCTTTCTTCCGAAGTCAAAATGGAATTGAAATCACCTGCAATAATCCAAGGATCACTTGCAGGTATCTCAATACCCCACAAATGCTGCCATAATAACCTTCTCCTAACACGGTCACAACTTGCATATACCACAGACATCCAAAATTTTTCAGAGTCCAAAAATATAAATTCTACAGTCAGCACCACAGCTCATGAGAGTACAACTCCTTGATTTTAACTCTATCATTCCAGAGCAACCATTAACCCCAAATCCGTAATCGGTAATCCCTAATCTCTGAAAGCCTAATCCTTAATCCCTAATCCCAAATCTCTACTCCCTAAGCCTAAACAATAAACCAAATACCCAAAAAAAGGAAATAAAACATAATTAATCTAATAGAAAAACAAACAAAACACATATAACCAAAGAAATGCAATGCAATGATAGGTTGCGTAAAATATGAAAACAATAACGAAAAATGAAAAACAAACAGTGGGATAATGAGAGTGTTGGGAATTGAAAATAATAGAAACAATAATCATAACAAGTCAGAAACACAAGAACATATAGAAATAATCATGTGTAAAACACATTTCACATGTAAAAGAAATTCAATCAAATTTGCGCAAATAGATATACTTATCTTTTCGCTCTTAAACTCCGATTTCAAGCCTATCTCGTCCATTCCACTAACAACTGAAATCAAAGTACACATTAGATTAGTTACGCACATAAAAATGAAAATCTAAAACATAAAAAAAATAATAAAAGAAAAAAATAGGATAAGAATGATGAGGAGGTGGAGCAAAACAAGCAAAAGAACAATAAACCCAAATCCCTAACCCCAAACCCCTAATCCATAATCCGTAATCCGTAATCCCTAATCCCTAATCCCTAATCTCGAAAGCCCTAATCCCTAATCCCTAATCCCAAATCCCTACTCCCCAAGCTCTAATCCCAACCATTATCTATAAACCAACAACCTAGAAAAAAGGAAATAAAGCATAATTTATCTAACAGAAAAGCAAACAAAGCACATATAACCAAACAAATACTATGCAATTATAGGTTGTGTAAAACATGAAAATAATAACGAAAAATGAANAAACAAAGCACATATAACCAAACAAATACTATGCAATTATAGGTTGTGTAAAACATGAAAATAATAACGAAAAATGAAAAGCAAACAGTGGGATGAGGAGAGTGTTGTGAACTGAAAATAATAAAAACAATGATCATAACAAGTAAAAAACACAATACGATGTAGAAATAGTCATGCGTAAAACACATTTCACATGTGAAAGAAATTCAATCAAATTTGCACAAATAGATATACTTATCTTTTTGCTCCTAAACTCGGCTTTGAAGCTTATCTCGA